AATGAACCCAGGGCCTTCCCACTGACCTATAACTCCGGGCCTTTTTCTTTCTTTTTTTTTTTTAATTTTAGGTTAGGGTCTACAGGGTGTTCAGGGTCTCACCACTAGATCGGGCTCATAGTGATCCACCTGTTTACAGCCTCCCAAGTGCTGGGACTACAGGCGCGCCACCTCGCCCAGTCTCAGTTGCCGTCTCAGCGCACCCTGGGGGTAGGGCCAGCACCACAGGCCTCATTTTCTGTTATGAGACCAGGACTCACTAGGTCACTTAAGTTCCCCACTTGGGCTTGAACTTTTGGTTATTCAGTCTCCTGGAGGGCTGGATTATCAACGCATACCGCCACATGTGGCTGTATGTTTTTTGTTTTTTGGGTTTTTTTGCGGAACCGGGGATTGAACTCAGGCCCTTGTACTTGCCCCTTGTGCTTGCCAGGCAAGCGCTTATTCTACTGAGCCGTCTCCCCGGCCCCTGGCTGTATGTTTTAAATATAACGTATTTCCGTGGCATTGAAGAGACTTCTTGTCAGAAGCCACCTGCATAACTTTGCGCTATTCTATGCTCTGAATTTTTACTGCTCATCAGGTCAATTTCTTCTCGCTGAACAGAGTTGCTCCTGTGACGAGGCATAGAACTGTCACAGGGTGTTTGCGTAGTTTCATATGAAGTCGTGAAGGGGTTGCCTGCTCCTGCAGGTCTCTATCCTGGAGGTGGATTCAGGCTACGGCAGGGCCTACCTGTCGCCCAGGTGCATGCTGTTTCTGCAGCTCAGACTCTTGGCTCAGCTCTCTCCTTGCACGCCCACCGTCCCGTCCAAGTCGGCTTTGACCATGAGCTGTCACTCTGCTGCCAGGCCCAGGCCATGTGGCTGCTGCGCAGGTCACTGAGGTCATGTGTTCTCTCTCCCTCTCCCCCTCCAGATGGGGACAAGAACATGGACTTTGACATTGAGAAGACCACAGGCAGCATTGTCATTGCCAGGCCTCTGGATACGAGGATGGGGTCCAGTTATAACTTGACCGTGGAGGTGACGGACGGGTTCCACACCATTGCCACCCAGGTCAGAGGCCTCAGTGGGCAGCCCCTGAGTGGACAGGCCATGGGAGCCCCTGCCCCTGGTGGTAGGAAGGAGGCTGTGGAGATTTTTGAGGCTGTGTATTGCCCCTAAGAATACTGAATCCGGAGTCAGCACCAGTACACACTCTTCCTCTGTGATGGACAGAGCACATTCGCTCTTGTTCAGGATTCCTGTAAAAAATGACAGGTTTGGTCTCAGCGGGCATTTGAACTAAAGGCATAATGCCACAGGGGCTACTGTGGAAGTGAGGAATGGGAGTCAGGTAATGAGCTGCTAGATTTCGATTCTGGTTTAAGTTTGAGTTTTATTTGTCTTCTGCAGTGGGTTTTGATATGACATTCCATTTGAAGAAGCTCATTAACAAAATGTTTCATTGTGAAAACCACTAGAAAGCATGGTATCTCAAAGCCCTGCGATGTTGAGGTCCTATAATTCCTTCAGCAAACCTTTCTGCAGTGAGAGTGCGTGCTGTGTGCCACGCACTGTGCCAGGCGTGGATGCCAGTGGGATGCACACAGGCACAGCCCCTGCCGCTGCCACACAGCCCACAGCCCACCCTCTCTCCCACTGTCCCCTCAGGTCTACATCTTCACGATCGCCAACATTAACCACCACCGGCCTCAGTTTCTGGAGCCTCATTATGAGGTCAGAGTCCCCCAGGATACCCTGCCTGGGGTTGAGCTCCTTCGTGTCCAGGCCACAGATCAAGACAAGGGCAAAGGCCTCATCTACACCATACAGGGCAGCCAGGACCCGGGAAGTGCCAGCCTCTTCCAGCTGGACCCGAGCACTGGTGTCCTGGTGACGGTGGGGAAGTTGGACCTGGGCTCAGGGCCCTCCCAGCACACGCTGACAGTTATGGTGAGCGGTCTGGGGGCTGATGGGCTCGCATGCAGGGCGTGGGGGAGGACATGGATGGAGGCTACCAATGCCCATGTCACTAGTCGTGAGTTAGAGTAGTGGCGCCTCCTAGCTGGCCAGAGGCGTCTTCCATGCAGGACACCGGGAGCGCAGGCGGATAGGATGGCTGTGAGGAAGTGCTTGTTGGCTCTGGCTTTCCCTAGATGCCCTCCAAACATGGCTCAGCAGAGCTTTCCCTGCTCCATGACTTCATGACCACAGTGTTGACTGACATAGTGTCAGAGCTAGAAAGGACAGAGACCTTCCCTCCTGGCACAAGCTCTGGGGTCAGGCATGTAGGATGCAAATGGAAGGAGGACTTCCTCTCCAGGTCGTGTGCCTGTGTGTCTATGACCCTGAGAGTGAAAGCTTAAATGTTACACCTTGTAGACCTCAGTCTTAACATCTTGGAGCACTAATATTCTCTGAGGCCTAACCCAGAAAATACTACTATTCTGCCCATGTTAGCTTTCTGTCACCAGGACGAAAGACCTGACATAAATCAACTTCAAGGGGAAAGACTTGCTTTGGCTCATGGTTTCGAGGTTTCAGCCCATGGTCTGCAAGCTCCATGTCTTTCAGCCTGGAAAGACAGAAACACCATGGCAGGATGGAGGAATGGAGGAAACCTGCTCACCTCATGGTGACCAGGAAGCAGAAAGAGGAAATGAGCCGGAGAGCGAGGGGTCGGGCAACGCACAGCGCCCAAGGCCGCACCCCATGGGCCACTGTCTTCACTAACCCTGCCTGCTGTGTCCTTCACCTCCCAGTAATGCCATCCAGTTAGGATCCCACTAGGGCATCCACTTGCTGCTTGACTTAGAGCCCTCACGAGGCAATCGCCTCCCAAAAGCCCACCACAGCCAAGCCTTCAAAATAACAAGGTTTGGGGGGTCCATACTGGATCCCAACTGTAATACCCCTTTTCTCCTAACATCAGCCATTAAGGCATTTAAGCCTAATCATCATTAATAGATACATTTATTGATTTAAAAAGTAGAAAATATGGAGCCAAATTTAAAGGCACAGAGCTGTGTGCAGAGCTACAATTGGGTATGGTTTCTTGGCATTCAGTTTTGTTGCCCTTTGTCTAATCCTGCATCTTCCTTCTCCATTTGCTGTGCCCTGCCCTCCTCTTGAGCCCACAGGTCCGAGACCAAGAGATACCCATCAGGAGGAACTTCGCATGGGTGACCATTTATGTGAAGGATGGAAATCTGCACTCGCCGCGCTTCACCCAGCTCCATTATGAGGCAAGAGTTCCTGACACCATTGCCCCTGGCACAGAGCTGCTGCAGGTCCAAGCCATGGATGATGATCGGGGAGCCAATGCCGAGGTCCGCTACTCCTTCCTGCAAGGTGAGAGGCCTGGCCGTGAGGTCAGCAGATGGGGAAACACGCCTTGCAGATAAGCAAAGCCACTAGAAGCTTGACTGCAAATTAATCAACTACCGGGATCTCTCAGCTTTGGCAAATAATGTGGAGTTCTAGGGTTTTCCCTGGACCCATAATGACCTAAATTAACATACTTCCAAAGATTGTAATAACAATAACAAGAGGACTATTCAAATTATGGACAATCTATCTCTCTATCCATCTATCTATCTATCTATGATATAAAGCATGATGCAGGGGAGGTTTATGAAGCTCAAGTAACATTTTAAGATACATTAACTTTATGCATGTCCATAAGAAGCAGTGGGAAAATGAATAGTAGGAGTGTAGAGTAGTGTTAGGAGGGCCCTATTATTTTTTTTTTTAATCAGTACCAGGTCTACAGGGTCTCACTACACAGATCAGACTCATAGTTGATCCTCCTGTTTTCAGCCTCCCAAGAGCTGGGATTACAGGAGCATGCCACCACGCCCAGTGTCATCCACTGACTCAGTGCAGCCTGGGGGCAAGAGCAGCGCGGCACACCAGGGATGGAACCTGGTCGCTGCACCTGTCTAAGCAGGCACTTTAGTCCGCTGAGCTATCTGGCTGGCCCCAGAGTGCCCTATATTTCCTGCTAATGCCACATAATGACGTGGCACTTGTTGCATGATCTTTTTCCTCCCTAACATGAGAATAATATGACCTTTCCTAGAAAGTTGTTGTTGTTGTAAAACTTCAAAGAAAAATATATGTTAGTGCATGTTTTAAGCTGTAAGATATAATATTACTTAATATCGCTAATGAGTGTTAATTATAAGTAGTCACCATAACAAAATGAGAATATCCACTGTGCAGTGCATCACAAATGGTTTTTGATAGTTGATCGTGCACGTTAATATAATAGATCAGAGATAATTTTAAGTGATATTAATTGCACATAATCACCTTTACAATTAGATGTTGTGGAAGGACAAAGTGAATGACTTGCTTCGTGCTCTTACAGAAGGCATCTTTTTTTTTTTTTTTTTTTTGTCGGAACCAGGGATTGAACTCAGGCCCTTGCGCTTGCCAGGGAAGTGCTTATTCCACTGAGCCATCTCCCCGGCCCCAGAGGGCATCTTTAAGACATCAGAAGTAGTTACATTTTCTTTTCGGAGGAAATGGTTACCATATGACAAAAGTGTATTCATCCCTGAAGCAGAGTAACACAAATTAAACATTATTATTATTATTATTATTAATAGATACAGGGTCTTGCTACACAGCTCAGATTCATAATGATCCTCCCATCTCAGCCTTCACAGTGCTGGGACTGCAGGCATGCACCAGCACGCTTAGTTTCAGAGCCAGCACAGGTTCCAGGGCCCGCACAGCATGCAGTACCAGGGACTGCACTTGGGTCCTTGCACTTGCCAAGCAGGCGCTTAGACCACCAAGCTATCTCCCCATCCCATAACACAAATTATAGCACATTAATTATCCTTTCTGATTTATGAAGTCAGCTCTTTGCTTTCATCTCACTGACAAACCCACGTATGGAGATAATGGCTTTATTTTATAGATAAGATTAGTTTCAAAAAAAGTGGCTGGGGAGATAGCTCAAAATATTCTTCTGGCCAGAGAAGCAACTCTTGTTCAATTTTGAAAGCCTGACAGGGCCAGCAAGATATCTCAGTGGACTAAGTGCCTGCTTAGGCAAGCTCAGGGACCGGGGTTTGATCCCCAGTATCCTGTGTCGCACTGGCCCTGCCCCTGGGCGTGCTGAGCCAGTGATTGAGTCTGGGCATGGTGGCTCATGTCTGTTATCCCAGCGCTGGGGAGGCTGAACATACAAATCCAAGCTGCATAGTGAGACCCTATATAAAAAAAAAAAAAATTGAAAGCCTGACATATGGAAGCGTATAATGAAGAAGACAGCACGCAGCCATTGTCATCATCCAGAGACAGCAGTTTCACATGTCCCCCACTCTTCTCTTCCTGGCATCTTTCGCAGCGTGGATATTCCAGTGGACATCCCATTTTGTGCCCTTTTTTTTCCCTCTCTCATCAGTATAACATGAGAAAGAAGCCAGAATTAGAGTTCTGTTTAGGTGGTTAGTGTAGCTGCCTTTCATCGTGCCTCTCTCAAGCTGCTGGTTACGCATAGGAGCTGTGCTCCTTGACGGAGCTCGGCCTCTGTGTCACCGGCCACCTAAGGCCTTCTAAGGTTGGAGGAGTCACACACCTTAGTCTCAGCTCTCTGGGAGGCTGAGTGAAGCCAGAGGATCAAGAATTTTAGCCCAGCCTGGGCAACTTAGCAGACCCTGTCTTAAGGCACAAAGAGGGCTGTGGGCATAATTCAGTGGGCAGGCCCCACTTTGTTCCTCAAAACCACCAGCAGGTTGAAAGTCTTACAGGAAGCTCTGCTGTCTGCTTTGCCACAGAAACCATAAAATAGTTGTCCCGTGGATAAAGGGGATGAAAAATGTCTCCCTAAGGGTAAGCCCTGTACTTCTGGTAGTGAGCAAACCTATCCAGGTGCTTCTCAGACCCTGGATAGGCGAGCAGGCCTGGAGAACATACTGGCTTTTTAGTTTCTCTGCAGACTTCCGGATCAAATCCAAGACTCAGCCTCAGGCAGTACCAGAATCCCATCAGAATCTCCGACACTTGTTGCTCTTTGTCTCAGAGAAAGAGGGCAGGTCTCGGGCTCCACTCTTTAGACTATATCTGGATTTTTTTCATTGATTTAGTTTTATGGTAGCTTCTGATTGATGGTATGTGATAGTTTTTTAAGTAGCAATATATTAATTTGTCTTTCTAAAATATTTATCAATTTTACGAGTAAATCAGTAAATGATATTATAAAATCATGTAGGCAGTGGTTGGATATTTTAAAATTATCAAGTTGACCTTAAATTTTAAAAATACACCTGTGGTGTGGATGTGATGTCACACCGCTGTAATTCCAGCAGTCTGAGAGGCTGAAGCAGGAGGATTGTGAGCTCAAACCTAGCCTGGGCAATCAGTGGCTTTGCAAGAACCTGTCTCAAAATAAAAAGCAAAAAGGGTTGGGGGTCAGCGTGAAGGCCCTGGGCTCAATCCCCTGTACTGACAGACAGAGAGGGACAGAGAGAGAGAGAGAGAGAGAGAGAGACACTACTACTGCTACTGTATGGAAGAATGATGCAAACATAGAAGTATGTCAAGAGTCGAGAGCTGGGGGGCTGGAGAGATATCTTGGAGGTCCAAAATCCTGCCTGCAAAGTGCAAGGTCCTGGGTTCTAGGGTGGGCAACATGCCATGCTGCCCCTGGAACTGGGGTGGTGGCGCATGCCCATAATCCCAGTGCTGGAGAGACTAAGACAGCAGGATCACTATGAGTCTGAACCGCATTGCAAGACCCTGTACCAAATAAATAAATTAAAAACTTTTAAAAACCACAGAAGAGTCAAGAGCTGGGAGTTCTGTGTCCAGCCCCTCCCTCCCAAACTCTGAAGACCAGCAAGAAACATCCCCTCCAGAGAACACAGAAGGAATACGATGGTAGCTTACAAATTCCCTGCCTACTTTGACAGTTTGTGATGCCATATTTATAGTTTCATCTTTTAAATGTACAACCAAATGACGAAAGCTACTATAAAGCTATGGAAACGATGACTAAAATGCTGTTGAGGGTAACTGACCCTTCTGAAGTGCCCACAGGAAGTCGGGCGGCATGTGCTTTCCTTATGAAGTATAGGTCTCCTTTCTAGGCTTCCGAGACCTATTTCAGTTTTGGTTTGTAGCTTACATTGCATCTCAGCAATTTAGTAGTGACAAAAGTTGTCGCTGATGAAGCACCTACTATGTGCTCTGTAGTAAGAACTGCATAAAGCAGATATCTACCCTGGACTCTATGTCCCATTAACCTAGGGTGGCATAGAATGCAGATTTTGCCCAGTCCCACTTCTGTGACAGTTTTTCATTGGTCTAGAAATGAAGACGGTTTCTCTGGAGAACACGGCCACGATCAGCTTGTCTCGTCTTCTGTTTCAGGGAACAGTGAGGAGTTATTCAACATCAACGTCCTGCAAGGCATCATCACCGTAGCCCAGAAATTCAATCAGGCAAATCACGCCCGGCACACTTTGATAGTGAAAGCAGAAGACCAGGGGTCCCCGCGGAGGCATGACTTGGCTACAGTGGTCGTTCACGTCCACCCCTCAGACAGCAGCACCCCCATCTTCTCAAACACCGAGTACTTCGTGGAAGTCCCCGAATCCATCCCTGTTGGCTCACCCATCCTCCTTGTGTCTGCCTCCAGCCCCTCTGAAGTTACCTACGAGTTAAGAGAGGGAAACAAGGATGGCGTGTTCTCTATGAACTCCTATTCGGGCCTTGTCTCCACCCAGAAGAACTTAGACCATGAGAAAATCTCGTCTTACCAGCTGAAAATCCGAGGTAGCAACATGATGGGTGCATTTACTGACGTTGTGGTGCTGCTTTACATCATTGATGAAAATGACAACGCACCCACGTTCTTAAATTCAACCTTCGTGGGTCATATTAGTGAAGCAGCTCCACTGTACAGCATGGTCGTGGGGGAGGACAACAATCCTTTTGTGATCCGCGCCTCTGACAAGGATAAGGAGGCTAACGCCTTGTTGGTTTATAAAATTTTGGATCCGGAGGCATCAAGGTTTTTCAAAGTAGATCCCAGCATGGGGACCCTAATCATTCTATCCGAGGTAGATTACGAGAGCAGGCCCCTGTTCCAGTTCAACGTCTATGTCCATGACCAAGGGAGCCCCATCTTATTCGCACCCCAGCCTGCCAAGGTCATCATCCACATCAGAGACGTGAATGACTCTCCTCCCAGGTTTGCAGAACAGATATACGAAGTAGCAGTCGTGGGCCCCGTTCATCTTGGGATGGAGCTCCTCACTGTGCAGGCCAGCGATGACGATTCAGAAGTCACGTACAACATCAAAACTGGCAATGTGGACGAAGCTGTTGCCATTCATCCAGCCACTGGTTGCATAACTGTGCTGAATCCTGCCCTTCTGGGAGTCTCTCGGAAGCTCACAATTCGGGCTTCTGATGGCCTCTATCAAGATACCGCGCTTGTAAAAATTTCTGTGACCCAAGTCCTTGACAAAAGTTTGCAGTTTGACCAGGATGTGTATAGGGCAAGCGTGAAGGAGAACTTGCAAGACAGAAAGGCACTGGTGATTCTTGGTGTCCAGGGCAATCATCTGAATGACACCCTTTCATATACTCTCTTAAATGGCACAGATTTGTTTCATGTGGTCAAGTCTGCAGGCGTGTTGCAAACAAGAGGAGTGGCGTTTGACCGAGAGCAGCAGGACCTTCACGAGGTGGTGGTAGAAGTGAGGGACGATCGGGCTCCTCCACGGGTGGCTCAAGCAGTGGTCAGGGTCTCTGTCGAGGACATCAATGACAACCCCCCTGAGTTTAAGCATCTGCCCTATTATACAATCATTCAAGATGGCACAGAGCCAGGGGATGTCCTCTTTCAGGTGTCTGCCACTGACAAGGACTTGGGGGGGAATGGGACAGTCACCTACACATTCACAGAAGATTACACATATTTCCGAATCGACCCCTATGTCGGGGACATATCACTCAAGAAACCTTTTGATTATCAAGCTTTGAATAAATATTGCCTCAAAGTCATTGCTCGAGATGGAGGCACGCCATCTCTGCAGACTGAGGCAGAAGTACTTGTCACTGTGAGAAATAAGTCCAACCCACTGTTCCAGAGTCCTTACTACAGAGTCAGAGTCCCTGAGAATATCACACTCTACACCCCCATTCTCCACACGCAGGCCCGGAGCCCAGAGGGACTCAGGCTTATTTACAACATCGTGGAGGAAGAGTCTTTGGTGCTCTTCACCACTGACTTCAAGACTGGTGTTCTCACAGTGACAGGACCATTGGACTATGAGTCTCAGTCCAAACACGTATTCACAGTCAGAGCCACAGACACAGCTCTGGGGTCATTTTCTGAAGCTACGGTGGAAGTCTTGGTGGAGGACATCAATGATAACCCGCCCACTTTTTCCCAGTTGGTGTACACCACGTCAGTCTCAGAAGGCTTGCCTGCCCAGACCCCTGTGATCCAACTCTTGGCTTCCGATGAGGACTCGGGCCAGAACTGTGATGTGTCCTATGAGATCGTGGAGGATGGCTCAGATGTTTCCAAGTTCTTCCAGATCAATGGGAGCACAGGGGAGATGGTCACACTTCAAGAACTGGATTACGAAGCCCAGCAACACTTCCATGTGAAAGTCAGGGCGATGGACAGAGGAGATCCTCCGCTCACTGGTGAGACCCTTGTGATTGTCAATGTGTCTGATATCAATGACAATCCCCCTGAGTTCAGGCAACCTCAGTATGAAGCCAATGTCAGTGAGCTAGCCACCTGTGGACACCTGGTTCTTAAAGTCCAAGCTCTTGACCCTGACAGCAGAGACACCTCCCGCCTGGAGTACCTGATTCTTTCTGGCAATCAGGACCGGCACTTCTCCATTAACAAATCATCAGGAATCATTTCTATGTTCAACCTTTGCAAAAAGCAACTGGGCTCTTCTTACAGTTTGAGGGTGGGTGCTTCAGATGGGGTCTTCCAAGCAACTGTGCCTGTGTATATCAATACTACCAATGCCAACAAGTACAGCCCAGAATTCCAGCAGCACATTTATGAGGCAGAGTTGGCAGAGAATGCAAAGGAGGGAACAAAGGTGATTGAGTTGCTAGCCATAGACAAAGACAGTGGTCCCTATGGCACTGTGGATTATACTATCATTAACAAACTGGCCGGTGAAAAGTTCTCCATAAATCCCAATGGCCAGATCACCACTCTGCAAAAACTAGACCGGGAAAATTCAACAGAAAGAGTCATTGCTATTAAGGTCATGGCTCGGGATGGAGGAGGAAAAGTGGCCTTCTGTGTTGTAAAGATCATCCTCACGGATGAAAATGACAATGCCCCACAGTTCAAAGCATCTAGGTACACTCTGTCCATCCCATCAAATGTCAGTAAAGACTTCCCGGTGATCCAGGTGCTAGCTTATGATGCTGATGAAGGTCGGAATGCAGATGTCACCTACTCGGTAGACCCAATGGAGGACTTGGCCGATGATCTCATTGATGTCAATGAAATCACTGGTGTGGTTAAGGTCAAAGAGAGCCTGGTAGGACTAGAAAATAAGACCCTTAGCTTCAAAGTCAAAGCCCAGGATGGTGGCCCTCCTCACTGGGATTCTCAGGTGCCGGTGCAACTTCAGGTTGTGTCTAATGAAGTGTCCTTGCCCAAATTCTCTGAACCTCTGTATACATTCCCAGCATCTGAAGACCTTCCAGTGGGGTCTGAAATTGGTGCTGTTAAAGCCATGGCAGCTCAAGACCCGGTCATCTACAGCCTAGTGCAGGGCACCACCCCAGAGAGCAACAAGGATGGAGTCTTCTCCTTGGACCAAGACACAGGAGTCCTAAAAGTGAGGAAGGCTTTGGACCACGAGTCCACCAAATGGTACCAGATTGACCTGATGGCACATTGTCCGCATGAGGATACAGAGCTGGTGGCCTTGGTCTCTGTGCACATCCAAGTGGAAGATGTCAATGATAATAGGCCAGTGTTCGAGGCTGATCCATATAAAGCTTTCCTCACTGAGAATATGCCGGGGGGGACTACAGTCATTCAAGTGACTGCCAATGACCAGGACACTGGGGCCGATGGCCGCGTGAGCTACCGGCTGTCGGCGGAGCCGGGGAGCGAAGTCTATGAGCTCTTTGCCATTGACGGTGAGAGTGGCTGGATCACTACTCTCAAGGAGCTTGACTGTGAGACCCATCAGACCTATCGCTTCCACGTGGTGGCCTACGACCATGGACAGACCATCCAGCTGTCTTCGCAGGCCCTGGTAGAGGTCTCCATTACAGATGAAAATGACAATGCTCCTCGATTCGCTTCTGAAGACTACAGAGGGTCTGTGGTTGAGAACAGTGAGCCCGGTGAGCTTGTTGCCACTCTGAAGACCCTGGATGCCGACATCTCTGAGCAGAACAGACAGGTCACCTGCTATATCACAGGTAAGGACATCTGTCGGGGTGCAGTGGCACCAGCACACATTTAGAAAAGCCCAACAAGGGTTTAGGAGGTGGATCTGAGGTGTGGACTGAAATCCTAGCTCTGCCACTTCTTAGGAGTGCAAATTGGGGGCAGGGATTACTTAGTCCCCAGGACCTCAGCTGCCCATCTATAGGGCACCTGTTGTCGCTGTCAGCCTGTTGTCATTCTTCCGAGATGCTGGTGAGAGGTCCCTGGAGCATGCTGAGAGGGCCCCTGTGAATCAGCAAGTATTTTCAAAGAAGATTGTTCATCATTTTAGGCGAAGTAAGGGTCATACTCTTGACTGTCAGTTCTCTTCTAGGGAGTGGTCAAGGCCCAAAGTTGTGTGATCCATGAAAATTCTGCCAGGTGACTCTGTAGTCATAACCTTCCCAGGGCAAATAATGGATGATGGAAAATTATTTTTTGTCAGCCACAGGACTTGCATGTTGAAATGACAGCCCTCCCTCAGACACGATTCTAGCATAGCCTCATCTTGCAGATGGAAGAACCAAGGCCCTGATCAGAGGAGAAACAACCAAGGCCCTATTCTGAACTTTGGTCAGGGGCTATGATTAAAACCATACCCTACGAGCTCCTTTCCTCAGTGGATATACACACTGTAAAGCTAAATTCCCAGCTCCCTATTTCAAAGGTTAAACCAGGTAAACAGTGGTTTCTTCACCCACCCAGAGAAGCTTTTTCTTTTCTTTTCATTTCCCTTTTCCTTTCCTTTTCTTTCATTTTTTTTCCCGAGACAGGGTTTTTTTTTTCTTTCTTTCAGAACCAGGAATTGAACTCAGGCTCTTGTGTTTGCCAGGCAAGCACTTATTCTACTGAGCCATCTCCCTGGCCCCTTAGACAGGGTTTTGATACGTGGTTCAGGTCTGTCTTAAACTGACTGCATAGCCCAGGATGGCCTGAACCTTGTGGTGATCCTCCTGCCTTAGCCTCCCAAATCTTGGAATTTCAGGTGTGTACCACCACGCCTGATCAGAATATTTTTTCTTTCCATCTCTGGTGCCATATCATGGAATTCCCATAAAAATGGCTCCTTTTGCTACTTGGGGGCCAGCGGAGAACTCATGAAGTTCCTGGAACCTGGAGACAGAATCGGAGCTAAATGAAGCATGAAGTCTTAGGAAAACAGAACCTTAAGGCAGAACCTGATCCCCTGGCAATGTCAGACACTGGAAAATCTAAACGTCTTACCATCTCAGAATACAGGAATAACAAATGACAATGTACAGTCAACTTTTGGAATAGCTGAGTCCTGCAACTCCGAGTATCTTTGAATCGCCGAGTGAGATGGTCTTCCTACACCCCAGCCATGTTGGAGTGGAGGAAGGGTGCTCCTCCAGAGCCTCCACGGGGCTGGTGGCAGTAACTGCACAAGAAAACCTCGGAGAGTTTAGTGTCACTGATTGCTCCTCTCCTGCCCATGTTGAATAGCTACAGATAGCAGACCTGTTTTGTACAAGATGGAAATTTGCTTCCCTGTAACTTTCCCCAGTGCCTTCCAGGCCTCAGAAAGAATCCAGCTCCTGGCCCCCACATATTTTGAAGTAGTACTTCCTGAGCTGCTGGTTTCATTTAACAGGAGTCCCTTAAAAAGCCAGAAGAAGGCCGGGGAGACGGCTCAGTGGAATAAGAGCGCAAGGACCTGATTCCCCCCCACCCCCCAAAAAAAAGCCAGAAGAGTTTTCATAGTCCCCAGCACTGACTTAGTGGAGAAGTGTGGGTTCCTAGTGAAGAGAAGTTTTTTCTCCTTTCTCAGCAATCCTAAAAGAAGTGTTAGGTGGGCAGCCACCTCTTTCACAAAGTCTGTGGTGTTCCTGTTGCTTGGCTTCTGAGAGCTATGCCCCATCTTTTTAGAGGGAGACCCCCTGGGTCAGTTCGCCATCAACCAAGTTGGGGGTGAATGGAGGATCTCCACAAGGAAGACCTTGGACCGAGAGCACACAGCCAAGTATTCGCTCAGCATTACGGCATCAGATGGCAAATTCCAGACTTCGGTCCCCGTAGAGGTCTTTGTCCTGGATGTCAATGATAACAGCCCCCAGTGCCCACAGGTGAGAGCCTGAGGGGTGGTGGGAAGGGAGTGCTGGCAGGAAACGTAGGCGAGGAGCATCTCTTGGGCTGGCTGCTGTTGCCCTCCCCTGTCCTGGCTTCTCCTCAGTGGGCATTAGCTTAGTGGTCAAGCAGGGAACATCCTAGGCAGTTCCTTGTCCTGCCCCATAGGTACTGTAAAGCTCTTCGGGAATCCTGTGCTACTTTTCTCTTCCCGCACTGTATACGTAGCCCCACTTCTCTGTGAAACTCATGCAGAAGTAACACGCACCCTCGAGTCTGCCCTGCTCACTGGGCGAATGCCTGCTGCTCCTAGGTTAGCAAGGCTCACGGTGGCCAAGTCCTTCCAGAGACATCCATCCCACCGTGCCCATGGCGAATGCTGCTGCACCTGCTCAGGCAGTTCACTCCGGGGCAGGTGTTCTTCTGCAGGTTATACACAGATACAGATGTGGGCACAGGACAGTGACATTCAGAAAGGGACACTTCTCTAAGGATATCCTATACTTCAGCCCCAAATTTCCCAGGGAAAAAATGTCGCATGGGATGAGGGTGAAAGGGAGGCTTGAGACAGATTAGGAGAAGAGGATGTGTGTTGTTAAGAGGACATAAACTTAAGAGTCATTGTCACAGAGCACTACCTTTAAATATGTTTTTAAAATGCAGGAAAATGACTTGTAGCTTTGGAGTGATTTGTATGACTTTGAAGTTTTCAGATAAACTGTTGACATCTTTATTTTATAAAAGACATCATTCTAAGGACCTGCAAGATAGTTCAGCCCCCTGAGCTGACCACCAGGCATGGTGGCACACGCCTATAATCCCAGCACTAGGGAAGCTGAGATAGGAGGATCATCATGAGTCTGAGCTGCATTGTGAAACCCTATACCCTATATAAAATATGTTTTAAAAAATACATCATTCTAACAGATGCATTTGCATACAGACACCGATCTATTTGAGCATGCACATATGGACACATCATGGGCCGTGCACATGAATGCATGTGTGCTGTCACCTCTCCTCCTCTGCCCCTCTGCACCCCGGCCACATGACAGCACAATAGGAAGAGGGGCCCTGGGTCACCAGGATGCAAGGAAACAGTATTTTCAGGAAAGCGGTGGTCTTCCTCCTCATCCCCCTCAGCCGCTGCACAACCTCTGTCCTCTCTGTGGTAGGAACCGCCAGGACTGGGGTGAGGGGACAGCATCTCCAAGCCTCCCAGTGAGGCCAACAGCATCTCTAAGGCCAGAGAGCAGAGGCCTGGAGCACCACCTCTGCTCAGCCTGGCCTGGCTTGCAGCTCCCACCCAGAGTACACTGGGGCCCACGCTTCCTGGGCCTTGCTGGGGAGTTTGGCCCAGAGCCAGCCTGGGCTCTGAATTCTCAGAGACCCCCACACACCACGCCATGATGACACTTGTGGAGGGAACATGGGGTGGGTAGGGCGTGTGGCCTGGAGTGGCTTGATCTGAGCTTTTATGAGACACGTGTCAGGCGCAGCCCACCTGCCTTATCCAAGGCCCTCTGTAGGGCATGCTCTTGGGCGCAGCAACTCCCTTGTCTTCCTCCCTTTCTGACCCATTTTCCCGCCAGCCCTCTCCAGTTCCTAATCTCCCTTTGCCGCGCAGGCTTTCTTCCCTCAGGTCCCCTCCCTCTCTCTGGGCTTCTCTCTGTCGCTGTCCACTGGACTCATTCAGTCTCTCTTGCTGCTTGCGTCTCTGTCCCTCCTCCTCTCTCTGGCTCCCTGCAGAGCTCCCACAGTCTCCCCTTTGTCTTTCCATCTCCAGCTTCTCTACACCGGCAGAGTCCGTGAAGATGTGTCCCCAGGACACTTCATTCTGACAGTTTTGGCCACAGACTTGGACACCGATACCAACGCTCAGATCACATATTCTCTGCACGGCCCTGGTGCTCATGAGTTCAAGCTGGATCCTCACACAGGTGGGTTTTCCTGAGCTGCAGGATCAAGCTAAGGGCTTATCTGCTGAATGCAAAGTGCCCAGTGCCATGGGAGGGTCTTTGGGGCAGGGGCAGGAATTCACGAATCCATCTGTCCATCCACCAGCAAGCAGTGAACAAACAAACGTACACTGGCACCATGTCCCAAGCATCACGCTGCACGCTGGGATATAAGCTGTAGGCTGCTAAGACAGGACCCCGGCCTTTCTACTCTAAGGGGAAAGGCAGTCATTGAGTCAGTGGTTTAAAAAGTGACTCTGAGATGTAAAATTGACTTAGGCTTGGAGCAAGGTTAAATAAAACTTCTCTGAGGAGAAGTTGTTGTGTGTGAAAAGGAGGAGCTAACTGGGTGAGGGACAGGCAGGCATTCAAGGATGAAAGAAAGTTTTATTTAAAGACCTTGGTCTGGGGAAAGGCTGGATAAAGAGCCAGAAACGTGGGGTGGGGGTGACGCCCCCTGAGAACGGGGCCAAATGCCACTGTCAGAGCCTGTGAGCGCTGTGTTCGAGGGTCATGGTGAACACTGCAAATCTGTAGACTTTGTAAGGCTCACAAGTACAAAGGTGTGTGGAGTCCTAGCCCAGGCTGGGCCTGAGGAATTCCCTGGGTGTGGCTCCTGTTGCCATGGTTACTAGCCAGTGGACAAAGCAGACTGGGAAGCAGAGGCCCCTCTAAGACTAGCCACGCACACCCTGGTGGGTCTCAGTTCAGGACCAGCTGCTGACACTTGGCTGAATCCAGTAGCTCAGAAGACAACTCGGAGCTTCCAGAGCAGGGTGGCAGTGGGAGAGAGAGTGCCCAGGACAGACGGGACTGCGCTGTTTCTGGACCCCGGCCCAGGTGTGCGAGGCAGCTCCAAAGGCTACCTAACCTCCCTCCCTCTGTGGCTGTTTGCTCAGCTGCAGGATGATCCATGAGGACTTGAAAGAAAAATAAACGGGGCAGTCTTTGAAAATATGCAAATAATACATGCTCACCGCACAGAATTCGAACAATGTAGGTGTGTGCTGCCTGGAAGCTGGCAGGTCTGCCTGATGAGCCCTCCGCTCACGACGCGGGCCCTTGATGTTTATTCCATCGGAACGCTTCCCTACATCTCTAAAACCTCACTGTTGCACAGAAATAGAGTACCACTTTGGAACTTGCGTTTTTATGCCCTGATAAATATGTTGCAGATGTTACCACAGCTGGAATAAAGCTCGGTCGTAATTCAGTTCTACGTGCATAGTTCTTCACTATGTGGCCATGCCACAGTATACTTTATTAGCCCCTTTGTGAGAAATACTAGGAGATTGCAGTTCATTGCTCTTCAAAACACTGCCGTGGAGAATATCCTTATCTATATATTTTTATCTTTTGGCTAATTATTCTGCAGGAATGAAGTTATTGGCCAAAAGATAAACACGTTTTATATATTATAAATTGCATAATTGGCCTTTGAAAGTGATGGTGATGGTTTCAAACTGGTGCTGACAGCGGTGGTTGTGTTTGGAAGGACGAGGAAGTCGTGGGGGCTATGGCACGGGCTGAGCTGTTTCCTGACTCCTGTGCACACTCCTGGCCCTCCGTGTGGCTGGGGTCACCCCTGCAACTCTCTAGTGGCCATACACTGGGATGCTTTCCCACAGAAAAAGTACAGCTTCTGTTGTTTTCTGGCCAGGAGAGCTGAGCACATTCGCAGCCCTGGACCGCGAAAGGATGGACATGTACAGCCTGGTTGCTAAGGCGACTGATGGAGGTGGCCGATCATGCCAGGCTGAGGTGACCCTTCATGTGGACGATGTCAACGACAACGCCCCACGGTTCTTCCCCAGCCACTGTGCTGTGGCTGTCTTTGACAACACCACAGTGAAGACCCCGGTGGCGGTGGTATTTGCCCGGGACCCTGACCAAGGTGAGTGCAAGGACCAGCAGTCACGTCTGCTCCTCTGCCACTAGCTTGCCCTCAGTGAGGATTGACTGTCTATCTCTCCGGCCCTAGTGAGGACTGTCCCTCCATAGTGAGTGTGTGCATGCTGGACAGTAGGGAATGTCTGTCCACGGCAGTGTGCCCAAGTGCAAGGGGACCGAGGATGCTGGCAATGCTGTGAGCCAGGCACAAGGCCTTTTAGCTACGCTGTTTCTCCCTCACCTCTTAGACTTGTGGTCAGTGTGGTCAGTGTGGTCATTGTGGTCACTGAACTCTTAGAACTTTTTTCTCAAGCTCATTTTTTTTTAAATTTTAAAATGGGAAAAAAAGAAAAACAAATAACAAGAACAAAGACAAAAACAAAGCAACATAACACAATAAAAATGGCGCAGAATTTCAAAACAAGAATAGAAAATTAGCGTTATATGTTATGCATTGTTATTATCAAATTTGTTGCTCAGATTGCCAGATTTAGGCATGCAAAATTGATCAAATCAAACATTAATTCTTCCTTTCGCTAAATCTTATTTTTTTTGTTTTTTTTTATTTATTTTTTTTTTTTTTTTTATTTATTTATTTATTTATTTATTTATTTATTTGTGTGTGTGGCCAGCTCAGCCCACCAGGGGGCGGGGCTGGCTGGCATGTGGTGCTGGGGGATTGAACTGTGGTCCCTCTGCTTTGCTAAGCTTGTTCTAAGTAGGTGCTTCAGACCACTGAGCCATCTCACCAGCCCCTTATTTTTTTATTTATTTTAAAGAGAGTATAAAAATAATAGATGAGGGGGCTTGCAGGTTAGCTCAGTTGTTTAAGCGCCTGCTCCGGCAAACCTAGTCAGGCGCAGCGGACCACGGCTCGATCCCCAGCTCTGCGTGCCTTACCAGATCTGCCTTTAAGGCAGCCTGAGCCTGAAAAAAAAAAAAGTACTAATAATAGATGAGACATTAGAGATGATAAACATTTAAAAGAACAGATGGAAGGTATCCAGCCGTGGTTGTTGTACTGCACATTGCAGTCCTCAATGTAGCTGATCAGGTTACAGACGTTAGCATGTAGAGTTGGTCCAACTAAAAATTTTAAACATTAACTACTAGCTTCAAAAACTGATAGAAATTAGTAGTACAATCATCTCAGCTATCCTGTGTTTATACTTGCACGATTTTTCCTCCTTCCCAAGGCCATTTTGAAAACATACATTTAATCAGAAATACATTGATCATAATTATTCAGCTTTAATGAATTTGGCCCCCGAATGAAATTTTCGACACCAATTGCATTGCCCCTATTCTTTGATTAGTTTCTTTACAATGAAGTCGAACCATTTGTAATACTTTACATTTTAATTTTAATGACATTAGTTTCATTGGCATTAATTCTTTACCTTTTAAAACTCAGAAGGCATCTTAGCCTGTTTTCTAGTGAGTACCACAGACTGCATGGCCGATGCGCAGCACAAGTTTATTTGGTGAGCAGCTCTGGAGGCTGGGAGGTCGGAGGCTTGGTGCTGACATCTGTTCAACATCTGGTGAGGACCTGCTGGCCGCATCATAATGTGGCAGAGGCCACTGTGTGGAGAGACAGAGACAAAGCCAGAGAGAGTGGGCTGCCTTGGGTCTCTCTTCCTCTTTTGATAAAGCCACTAATGACCTCATGACCTCATCTAATCCCAGTTATTTTATCAAAGACCCCACTTCCAAATGGCATTAGTGTACGAATTTGAGGGTTAAATTTTCGGTGTATAAACTTGGGGGAGGGCACATTCAAACCATAGTGTAAAGCAAATTGGATTCATCAAAGGGCGTTTGTTTCAGATTGTACCAATTGTACCACCTGCCACTAAGAACTATTCTATTGTGGTCCCATTTTCCTAGTTCAAATTTTATAAATCAAGCAGACTAAAAACTGCCCTTGGGGTCAAAGTAGCCAAATTAATATAAGATGATGATGACCATAATCATGATGATGATGTTGGTGATGACAAAGACAACAATGACAAAAGCAGAGTCAAAACATTCTATTTTGGCTAGGCATGGTGGCATATACCTGAAATCCCAGCACTCAGGAGCCAGAGGCAGGAAGATCACCATGAGTTTGAGGCCAAACTTGGCTACATTGTGAGTCGAAGCCAGCCTGAATTACATAGTGAGATCCTGTATTTTTTTTGTAATCTGCCTTTTAAACACCAGTAGAGTAAATTTAAGACTTCTAGAGAAAACAAACTTTAGCATGGTGTCTTGGTTACTTTTGTTTCATTGCTGGGACAAAATATCTGACACCCAGAACTAAGAAAGGAAAGTTTTCTTTAGCTCACAGTTTGTGGGGCTTTCAGTCCATACTCGGCTGGCTCCCCCACAGAGTAGTGCAGGGCAGAGCGCAGTAGTTCATGGCTGCAGAAAACAGCAAAGCAGCAAGGGCAAAAAGGAAGGCGCGGCGGCAGAGGGCGAGCCCCTCCTATTGCCTTCAGGCGACCCATGAGCAGAGCACTCATGCCCATAATCCTAGCAGCACTTATACCTACAGTCCCAGCATTGGAACGTGAATGAATCACAAACCATGACACTTGGTATTGAAGAAAGTGAGAGGCTTTGGAGGAATGCGGGGTCCTAGGATGAGCAGAGGCAGTGAAAGGCAGGGTAGGTAGGCCCGGGGGGCCTGGGGGAGGGGTAACAGGTGCAAGTAGACTTGTCTGAGATGCAAAGCTGGGTTTGTATGGCAAGGCCAGAAAACAACAGAGCCGGAGAGAGCCTTTGGCCTTGTATCTCCCTGTCCATTCAATGGCTACAAGGTCCTGTAAATGCTCAACTGACCACTACTTCTGCACATCCAGTGACAGAAAGCTCCATATTCTTAAGGCCCCTCCTTCCGAGGTTGCTCCACAATTACCATGTGCCATTTTCTTCTGCGCTGATGTCTGTTAGTCCTGCTCTCAGTCCTCTGTGGCCCTTCTGCCATGAGGAGGTGCTGACCACTTCTTCGTGCCTCAAACCTCCCTTCCTGGGTGGCAGAGCCTTTGTTCCTTCCACCTCAGGATCCCACATCCTGCCTACCTAGGACACATTCTCTGGCCTTGCACTAGTTTACCATTAACCTTTGGTGGTTGTAACTCAAATGTCGTACCCAAATATTCCTAGTGTGTACTAGTCTGCATCTCCCTTTCTCTTGAAAAAATCATGGTCTCCCCATAAAAAAAATGCATAAACAGAGTTGCATGGTATGTAGGTTTAATTGTACACTGCCAATACTCCTAAGCAGGTCCTGCCACTATCCCACCACAGCCCTTAGGCTCAGGGTCCCCGTTCATCCCACCGGATGAAGATTTCATAGCTGAGCATTAAATCTTGGCGTTTTTCATACAGGATGGGCCCTGTATGACCCAACTGCTTCACAACCCAAGAAAATAACAGAATCTGAACCAATGCCGCAGAAACACTTTAATGTATGAAGAACTTCCCATGGCTGTGTTTCTTAACTTTTTCATTTTGACATCATTATAGATTCATAAGAAATTGCAAAAATAGTATTGAGAAAGCACGCTTCACCTGGCGTCCTCAAGGAGCCACATATTCCTCCAAAAGTGTCGTGGAACCAGAAATTGGCTGACAGTGCTAGCGGGGCACAGCCTCATTCCATTTCGCTGGGTTCTGTGTGCACTCGTTGCCGTGGTGGCATTGTTTACGTGCAGCACAGGCCTACCTGTGCGCAGGCAGTGTGCCCATGTGCCTGGTCCTGTGGAGTATTATCCCACGCACAGATGTGTGTAACCCACACCATGATGAAGACACAGAACTGTTCCACGCCCAGCAGAGAACTCAGGAAGGGTGTTACATCTTGCTCCCTTTCCGTGTAGAAACTGACGTGGGATCCTACTGGCCACTTACATCTTCAGGTGGTTTGATAGGTTGGCCAACTACGCCACCCCGCTCCCAACAAAACCTTATCTTCTGAGGCCTGGGCTAGAGGCCTGGCTTGAGAGGCCTCGCTCCTACCCTACGCTCTTGGCCTTTTGGGGACCCCCTCCTCCCTCCCGTGCTTGCTGTGCGGTGCCTGCAGGGCCGAGGATAAGGGGATCACACTCGTCCTCCCACAGGCGCCAACGCCCAGGTGGTTTACTCTCTGACGGATTCTGCCGAAGGCCAGTTTTCCATCGACGCCGCCACCGGGGTGATCCGGCTGGAGAAGCCGCTGCCTGCGAAGCCCCAGGCGGTGCTGGAGCTCACGGTCCGCGCCTCCGACCTGGGCGTCCCCATGCCGCTGTCGGCGCTGGGCACCGTGTCGGTGTCCGTGGTGGGCCTCGAGGACTACCTGCCCGTGTTCCTCCACGCCGAGCACAGCCTGCAGGTGCGCGAGGACGCGCCGCCCGGGGCTCAGGTGCTGGCGCTGGCCGCGCTCACCCGGCCCGGGGCCGAGAAGACCGGCTACCGCGTGGTCAGCGGGAACGAGCAGGGCCGCTTCCGCCTGGACGCCCGCACAGGTGAGGGGACCGGGAGGCCCGCCCGCCCGCCCCGCTGCAGCCTCGGCCTGTCCTGCGCGGTCCCGCCTCGCCCTGCCGCGCCTGGGGGGCAGCCTTCCCGGGACTCCGCCTCCTGGGCCCGCAGTGACCCCCTCTCCATCACCGTTGGCGGCCGCCTGGCCTGAGCTCACGCCTGCTGGAACCGGAGCTCAGCGCGGGACAGGCCGCGCCCTTCTCCCACCCCAGATATCCAGGCATTTCCCCTTAGGGCCATGGAGAGAGAAAGAACGGGCCACCATCCTTGAGCTAGACACTCCCAGGGCGCTGCCCAGGTCCGCTCCACCCGCGGCCTCCCAGCAGCCACCTCTGACCCGAGCAGAATTTTTAAAAAGTTTTTATTATGGAGATTTTAGACGTAGAAGAAGCAGGCTGGTAGAGTGCTTCCCCAGGCTCTGTCCTTAGGAACATTAAGTCTGGTTTGATCCTATTCTTCAACCTCACTCCACCGCTGGGATTTGCTTTTCCATTTCCAGAAATTAATTTTTAATATATTTCAAAATTAGTGCATGTTAATTTTTATAAAATACTGGGTTTCAGAATGGTATCTTCATACATGAAAATAATCTTTTTCATCTTATTAATCTCAGCATTACCCCCCAATTCCTTTCCAAGAGTTAGTTTATTTTTCAAGATTTTGGATTGACCTGTGAGATTTGTTCAGATTTATGGGAATACAGCACAGTAATTCAGATCAGAGTAACTGGCATTTCTGTCTCCTGAAAACTTTATCAGTTCTCTGTGTTGGGAAATTTTAGACTCTTAGTTATTTTGAAAAACACTGCACATGCGCTGCTGAACACAAGAGGGTATTCTCCTTCCTCACTGTATTTTCATTCCCAATGAGGAATCTCAAAGCAAATCCAGATAGATCATCATTTCGCTTATAAACAAGTTAGTATGAATCTCTAAATGATAAACTACTTTCATAAACAAAACCACAACACCTTATCTCACCAAAAAAGAAATGATTCCTTAGTATAATTGAATACCAGCCAAGCAACGTTTCAGAACATCCCATAAATTTGTGCTAAAGTTGTTTCATCTGTAACCCCCAAGTGTCTCTCTATTGCACCCAGTGGATATGCAGCACGACCTAAATCTCTCTTGAACACTAGACTTCTTCTCTTTCCCTCCTACCAACTATTTAATGCCATATTTTGAGTCAGGTATCTGGTTGACATTTTCATAGTTTGGATTGCCCAACTGCATATTTATAATGTCATAAAGGGCTTGCCCCTCACCTCTGTAACTGCATCATTCATAATGGCTCACTGTTTTTTTTTTTTGGGGGGGGGTTGTTGCTAAGATGGACACTGAATTCAGGTGTTTTCATCCTGGTCCTCCATTATAGAGCTTAAGGAGATAAATTTAGCATCACAGATTTAAATGAGATATTACAAAAATGAGGGAAAAAAGAGCTTTTAGGAATTATAGAAAAAAAGAGGGGATGAAGGGGAAAAAGGTAGAAACATCAAAGAGGGAGACAGGAGGAAATCCAGCCCTGCTAGCCCCTTTGAGTTGCTTCTTCTGGAGCTGGGCTCAAAACTTTATTTTCTGCTTCCCTGTGTCTATTGCACCTTATTTCCTTCAGGGATCCTATATGTCAACAGGAGCCTGGATTTTGAGACAAGCCCCAAGTACTTCCTGTCCATTGAGTGCAGCCGGAAGGCCTCTTCCTCCCTCAGTGACGTGACCACTATTGTGGTCAATATCACAGATGTCAACGAGCACCGCCCCCGGTTCCCCAAGGATCTATACGGCGTCAGGGTCTCAGAGAATGCCATTGTGGGAGACGTCATCCTCACAGTAAGGATGTGAAGTTTTGCTCTTTGTGGGGCTGGACTGGATATGCTAAGGATTTGGGTCTGATTGGTAACTACTCCACCAAACCATCTCTTGGGACAGGACCTACTAGAGCCATTTGATCAATTTGGACTCTGATAGAAGGGCTGGAACAAGCAGGCTTTGGTAGGAGAGCACAGAGAGAAGCTAGACCAGGCCTCAGTGGTTGGCCAGAGGCACTAAAGCCTGGGAAGGGCAGTCTGGTCACAGTGGGGGCCATGGGGTGCCTGTGTATGTGAACCCAGGTCCTTGTGCTTCCCAGGGCAGCGCTTATTCCACTGAGCCATCTCCCCGGCCCCCTATCATCACAGTTCTTGAGCTTCCTTTCTGCTTCCCAGGCTTCCCTCCTTCTGTCCCCATGCACACCTGAAGGTGCACCTGTCTCCAGACAGCTACATGTCTCTCCTCCATGCACGCTGCCAGCCCCCTTGCAGGAGCTCTCCTCACCCTTCAGGGCTTCCTGAACCCAGCACTGATTTCTCCAGGTAGAATGGATCCGTGTGCTCTGTGCCCTCATGAGCCCTCTCATATTTTGCCCCAACTTAGAATCACCCATAAAATTAGTCACTAAATTCCCTGCAGGAATATTCCTTGAGGCCCATTCCTTTCCTTCTAGCCTCCCAGGTCAGACGCTAACACCCTGTCACTATGAATGAATGCACAGCATGCTGAAATCCACAAGCAATTTCCTTGGTGAGGAGGCAGCCAGTGGCAGCCGCTGGGGTGGGGACCTATCTGTCCCTCTATGCTGCTGGGGCCTTGCCAGGGTTCTTTTCTGGTCCCTCTTCTGCCTCCCCTCACATTCACCATCCCCCACCACAGGTGTCAGCGGCCGACGAGGATGGACCCCTGAACAGCGCTATTACCTACAGCCTTGTAGGAGGGAATCAACTGGGGCACTTCATCGTCCACCCCCAAAAGGGGGAGCTGCAGGTGGCCAAGGCCCTGGACTGGGAACAGGTGGGTAACGGCGGGGTCCCACTGTGCTCCTCAGAGCAGGGATGTGGCCCTGCTGCTGGTCTGTATGATGAGCTGTGGCCAGCACCCACCTCCCATACCCGGGTCATCCAGTTTTCTCTGTGAGGCCACCTGAACTGGAAGACCAGAAGCAAGAGGGGCTGAGACCTTGCTCACAATTCACTGGAGATCACTGGCTCATTGCAGGAACCACCACCATTTACCACTTACTGTGTATTGTGCCTTTTGCTAAATTGTGTCATTTGATCTCCAGGTGAGCCCAAGAAGTTGGTCCTGCCCTTATCCATACATAAGTATAGTCCCCCTTTTTAAGCCCTACAGCTAGAAACTGACTGTAGACCACACCCACTTTTTCCTGATCCCAGAGCCTGAGCCATACAACGCCATATGGCTGGCATCTCTGGCTCATCTTTTGGAAAATATTAGCAGTGAGTCAAGGGGCAGATGTGAGGGGCCTTGTCACTAACCTGCCATTGGGCTTCTTGTGACAGACATCTAGCTATGCCCTGAAGCTGCGCGCCACAGACAGCGGGCAGCCTCCACTGCATGCGGATGTAGACGTTGACGTCCAAGTGGTTGATATCAATGACAACCCACCTAGATTCTTCCAGCTCAACTACAGCACTGCTGTCCAGGTAAGTTTGAGCGCCCCAGGACTCCCGAAGCCTATCTTTCACTTTGGTCCCCTGTGGTGGGAGGTTCTCTCCAGTGGCAGCCAAGTCCCCACACAGCAGCTGCGACTTAGCCACTCATATCCTTGCTAAAGGCAATGCCCATGGCCAAAGGAGGGTATGAACTGTGGCATTAACATGTCAGGTTTGTGTTAGGCATTTTCCTGTCCTCCACCCACTGGGGGCTCCTGATATCCTTGTGAAGTAAGTAAAACCTATTCCACAGGCTTAAAAGAATGGAGACACAGAAACACACTATAGCTAAAGTATGTGACACTCAGGACTTAAAGCCCATTGATATTCTTGGTCCTAAGTCATTTTCACAGTAGCAGTGGTTTGCTGTGAGGATCTGTGTGACCCATTCTACCCAGGGAGAAACGGTGGCAGAAATGAGGAAAAGATAGACAAGAAGACGACAGCTGGTTAGGTGCTGGCTCGTCCGCCTGCTTGGGGAGATGACCCCAGGAGCAAAAAGAAAACGGGGACATTTACTTATACCTTTGCAAAGTTAGTGACATGTGACGCAAGGTTGCCTAGTGACTAATAGCCAACATGAACCAGTCAGGGTGCTTATCTCAGGACTGCGGTAGCTCGTCTGCTTTAGACACTGACGCCTAGTCCTGCCTACACACATTTGACCAGTTTTCCAGCTTCCGTGGCTCCCAATAGTTTTCAAATAGGATTTGAAGAGGGCCTTGTGCTTTTGTGGAGGAATTGCCCAAGCCCTAGTGGCGAGGGAGGCAAGGAAGTGGATAAGGGAGAATTCTGGGTCCCGGCATCACCGAGGGTGCTCCACTCCAACCTGCTTTGTGTGTTCTAAGCCAAGAAGCTTTCAATACACAGAGCAGATGATCTGACTAAAAGTTGGCCAAGTCACATGGACTTGTTAAAATGATAGAAAATTCCATTCAGAGTTGGTCATTTCTACAGGAAGCAGCATCGTGGCTTTGGGTCAACGTCTTTGAAACTCCTTCGCCTTCTCCCTCACTGCAGAATGGCTGCTGCAGCTTTAGAATCGCATGCTCACGTAACGGTCTCTAAAGACACAAGGAAGGGCACTTCTTTGGAAGGATTTTTTTAGTTGTCAGAGAAGGGTTTTCAGAAGCATCACTTGATAAACTTCTCCAGTGGTTGGATTGGATTCCATGCTCACCTCTTCAAGACCCAAACCTGGCCCAAGGAATCAGATTCTGATGGCTGACTTGGGCTAATCTTCATCCACTCCCTCCTGAGACTGGCACTCTGGCCTGAGAAGATGGCCAGTTATGTGCCTGAACAAGGCTTTGTAAGAATCAGAGAAGCAATACCTATTGGACAGGTAGCCACCAGAGCTGTTAGATTCTGTTGTTAAATAAGACTGTGATACTAAAACAGCCAGCCATTGCAGTATGATAGCGTACTGAGCTCCCGGGTTAGGGAACAAAGCATGAAATGATACTGGGACAATCATATTTGCTTAGTTAAATTCCTGTTCGTTTTTAAATGTGCTCACCAATGTAGCACATTGATCTCCTACTGAAGAGACGACTTGTGGGCTCTCCGTTGACCCTGCAAATTGCAAAATCCCCACATTCCTGGCTACTACCTTGTCCGTATGATTCATCAGCTGTGTGACCTCTCTCAGGTCACCTGTCTATAGATCAAAGCTTTCCCCTTGGTCCCTAAGAACACTTCGGTCTCAGTAAGCTTTGTCCCTAAGACCCAGCACTGCTTGAAGGTCGCAGAGCAGAACGCATGGATGGTGCCAGCCGGGTGCACAGTGCCAAGGACTGCTCCTAGATGAAAAGGTCTAGAAAGATGCCTGGCAGAGGACTGGGGAAGCTCACTTTGCTCTCTGTCTTGGTCTCAGGAAAACTCCCCCATTGGCAGCAAAGTCCTGCAACTGATCCTGAGTGACCCGGACTCCCCGGAGAATGGGCCCCCCTACTCATTCAGAATCACTAAGGGCAACGCTGGCTCCGCCTTCCGAGTGACTCCAGAAGGGTGGCTGGTGACCACTGCAGGCCTAAGCAGGGGGGCTCAGGAGCTGTACCAGCTGCAGATCGAGGTGAGAGCTGTGCCCGGCGCCTGGTTTGTGGTGGCCTCCGTGAAGACACCAGACACGCTATCAAAAGCACTGCCAGTGCTTGGGTCAGTAGGAAAAGGCTCAGAGTACTCAAGACTGTGGGGCACTGTCACAGGTTGTATGAGAATTGCCCAAGAACAGTGGCCAACGTGATGGTCAGACTTTTCTCCCTTAGTTCACTCCCCAAGTTCCTTTCCCAGATCTCAAATCCAGTGGATTCTAGCACTGTATGCATTTCTGGGCTGGGATGATGTATTCTTTCATTCATTCAGTTGTTCAGTCTCTCACCAAGTATTTATGGAGTATCTGCCATGTGCCAGGCCCCAGGTTCTAGGAACAGAACAGGGGAAAGGAGTGGGGCTCCTCTCCTCCTGGGCTTCACTGGTTACTTCCATAATTAGAATCTAAGCCAGCAGCTGGCCTGGTGGCACATACCTGTAATCCCAGCACTTGGGAGCCTGAGGCAGGACTACTATGAGTTCAAGGCCAGCCTGGGCTACACAGCCAGAACATAATAATAGATAACAATAAACAGATAAAGAATACCTTTATAAATTAGAGTACAGAAATGAAGTGATAACAGACTTAAGGCAGGGGACATGTGTACTTGCACACAGGGGACATTTGAGGGGAACCTGGGGTACCAGCCTGGTGTGGCAGCTGTGTAGCTTATAGCCCCAACTATGACTCGCTGAGAGTTGAGAGGTGCTGCCTTAGTTCATTGGGGCTGCCATGGGAAAATCCTACAGATCGGTGCTTAGAGAGCAGGCATGTGTTTCTCATCATTCTGTAAATCTGAGATTGAAGAGCCGCCACAGCCAGGTTCTTGAAAGGCTCCTCTTCCGATATGAACATGGCAGGAAGACAGCAAGCTGGCTAGCTAGCCTCTTCCTACTAAGTCCCTTTATGAGGGCTCCGTCTTCTTACTTCCCAAAGGCCTTCCCTACGATGTTGCTACCCTGGGAATTAGAGGTCAAGAAATGAATTTGCATGGACACAAACATTCAGTCCATGGCAGGCACTAAGAATAGTTGATTAATGATAACTGATCCCAACAGGTCAAAACCAAGACTGTCCTCGGCAAGCCAGGACGGGCAGCCCCTCGTTGTGCGCCCGGTGACACTGCTGGACTCTAATCCAAGCACAGCGTGAAGTTGCTGCAGGGCTTACAACAGGGACACGATCTCCCTGTCTTTCAGGTCCATTCTGAAGCTTTGTGGAGAGTTTGGCGAGGCTGGATGCCCAGAGCTTGCCAACCCAAGCTCTCGTAAGAGCGCTGAGACCTCTCTCAGAAGTGAAAGTGACAGTGGGAGGGTGGGGCAGATTTGGGACAGTTTTTGCATGTAAATAGGCAGGAGTTCCTGATGGCTTGGATGTGGGTATACAAAGAAGAAAGTGACTCTCAACTCCTGGCTCCCTTACGAGGTGGTCGTGACCAATACAGCCCTGAAACAACTCAGAGGGTGTGAGGTGGGGCAGAGAGTAAGACAAGGCTCTGTCTTGCACATCCTTGTGCGAGGGGATAACTGACTCCCAACAGGTAGAAGTTCAGGTGTCCAGGGAGTGGGGTGATGGGACACGCGGCTCTCAGGGGAAGTGCTGGCTAGGGTCCGTGATTCCCAGCACCAAAGGCGCTTCCCTGGGGAAAGAGAGACGGGACAGCTTGAGCCTTGTCCTGTGAAGTCCGCGCTGAGGGCTGGGCCCAGGCAGGCCAGCGGCTACGGGCCTCGCTATACCCTCAGGTTTATTCCATGTTTCTGCTTCCATTCGCTGTGAGGAAGCAGACAGGCCAGTGAGCAAACACGCTGCAGACCCTGCCTTCAGATTCTGCGCAGGCCTCCTCTGCTTGAGCTTGCTGTGACCTTGGGCAAGTTCCTTGAGCTTTTTGTAAAATGGGAGGCTTCAGGGACCCCCTCTCATGAGAAAGAAAAACTATGATAACACATTTGTAAGAGTTACTGGCATGTGGCCTGTCCTCAGCTGAGCTAGCTATATGTTATGACGAGTATGCTATAAGCTACTGCTGCACTGGTGTTAGCGTGAGTTACGGTCGCGAGTAGCATGAACCATTGCAGCTGGCACAGACGTCTCCTGAGCGTTCGGCGCAGTTCCCAGCAGGCAGTGTCACCTTACGTCCTGTGCCCACTAAGTCTTAGTGAATGAGCCATGTCTGCAGGGAACACTGCGGAGACCCTGCTGACAGCTGAGAAGTGATAATTTCCTAGAGGAGACAGAGGCAGGCTTCGTACCTCTCTAAGTTGGACAGAAAGTGGCAGTGATGTATGGTGAAACATGACAGGAGCATGCAACTTTTATTTAGCTTGTTTTTCCTACTTAATGGGGTCATGCCACCCTTACCTGAGCCTTCCAGGGGCTCCTGTCACACTGACACAACCCCACGCGTGTGCCCCTCGGCCTGCTGGCGAGGCTGCCCTCCTCCCCCACCACGCTCCCGGCACGGGGCCTCTTTCTGCTTCGCCGAGCTCACTCCAGGACCCTTCAGGGCCATCCCTTGTCTGTCACGCTTCATCTCATCAGCCTTGGCCTAGCCAGCACTCCTTGGAGACCCGGCACTTCTGCCCGATCCAAATCACACCCCTCACTTTCGCTTCTCTTTCACACCACACTGTGTATTTCCTTCACTGTACATTATCCAAGTCTGAAACACTCCTGCCTGTTTGGTAGCCCATTTATTCTCCTTGTTTCCGTCATCACAGCAGTGGGCCAGTCCCATGGAAGGAAACTGAGAAATCTTTATTGAATGACCTAAAGAAGAAAGCCCCATACCTACTCCAATCACATAATAAAGGGACTCCCAAAAAGACTCTCCTTGGGCTGGGTGGGGTGCCCTGAAAAATGTGTATCTGATTAGCTAAGAGACACTGGATGACTGTTCACGGAAGAGACAAACAAGGAAGCTTCCAGAAGGATGGAGGCCTGAGTGTGTATCTGGGACATGACTAATGGGAAATTGAGTTCTTTTACTGTGATAAGGGGCTGTAACTCCTGAGCACCTCCAGAAAGCCTGGAGCCTGCACATATGCTTTTGGAGTTAAATTTCTCTTTTCAAATGTGACAACACACTAAGCCTGCCCTTAGGCAGGAAGGACAGAGAGATGCGGCGTCCCAGGGAGGCTGTCCTCAGTCACAGCCCAGAGGACCAGAGTTCTGTTGGGTAATGGCAGTGTTCGTTCTGCCCATAGGTATCAGACAGTGGCATCCCTCCCCTCTCATCTTCAACGTGGGTCAGCGTCCACGTCATGGAGCAGAGCCACTATCCGCCTTCCGCCCTCCCTCTGGAGATCTTTATCACCATCGGCGAGGAGGAGTTCCAGGGTGGCATGGTGGGTAAAATCCACGCCACAGACCGAGACCCCCAGGACACTCTGACCTACAGCCTGGCAGCAGAGGGGCCCCTGGGCAGGAGCTTCTCCGTGGGTGCGGCTGATGGCAAGATTATCGCCACCCAGGGGCTGCCTCGTGGCCGCTATTTGTTCAATGTCACCGTCAGCGATGGGACCTCCTCCACCACTGCCGGGGTCCACGTGCACGTGTGGCATGTAGGGCAGGAGGCCCTGCGGCAGGCCCTGTGGATGGGCTTCCACCAGCTCACGCCCGAGGAGCTGGTGAGCGACCACTGGCGGAACCTGCAGCGGTTCCTCAGCAACAAGCTGGACATCAGGCGAGCCAACATCCACTTGGCCAGCCTTCAGCCTGCCGAGGGTACAGCTGGTGTGGACATGCTCTTGGTCTTCGAGGGGCATTCCGGAGCCTTCCATAACCTCCAGGAGCTGGCATCTATCGTCACACACTCAGCCAAGGAGATGGAGCACTCAGTGGGAATTCAGATGAGATCAGCCATGCCTGTGGTGCCCTGCCAGGAGCCAAGCTGCCGGGCTCAGCCCTGCCAAGAGGCAGTGCACCTGGACCCCAGGGTTGGGCCTACGTACAGCACCGCCAGGCTCAGCATCCTCACGCCACGGCACCGCCTGGAGAGGACCTGCTCCTGCAACGGTGAGGAGAGGGCCTGCCCACTGGGCTGTGCCTAAGCCCGGAAAGCCTGCTGAGGCTCAGAGGGAGAGCCCCGGGGAAGCTTTAATAGGGCCAAACATCTCAGACAACTGTGGCCTCACAAGATGTGGTGATAAAATGATAGCCCAATTTCTGGCACTTTGGGGGATTCTGAAAATCACAGTCGGCAGTTTAACACTGCAGCGAAGAGCACAGACCGCCGTGTTAGACTGCCTAGGTTCAAATCTCAGCTCTCCCACTTGCTGGTGAGGTGACTTAGGAGGGTTACTTCACCATTCTTTGTCTTTGGCTTGGCTGCTGCAGGGATTAAATGAGTATGAAATGTGAGGTATGTGCTTAGAAGGGTGCCTGACACAGAAGAAAGCACTCGATAAACACAAATCACAACCACCGCCACCACCACCATTACCAGAGTGCTGGGTGTCAGCTCACAATTTAGACTCACTGTAGGTTCACACCCTAGCTCTCCGATGTATTAGCTGTGTAGCCTTGGGCTTGTTATAAAAATCCTCCTAGCTCCAGTTTTTAATCTGTAAGCAGAGAAAATAACACCGCCACCTCCTGCAGTTGGCCTAGGGAGCCTGCCCACAGTGAGGGTGGGCTGGGTGGCAGCTGTCACCACAGACTCTCTAACGAGCCTGCTGTGTGCCATGTCTGTGCACAAGTCACCTGCCCTGAGCCACACCCGTGGTCCTTCTGCAGTTGAAACTGGATTTGGGAGCTGGTTGCTTGGCCTGGCACCATAGAGCCTTGCCTGATGGCTGGGTTCCTGGAGCACTTGGTCTGCTCTTCTCCAAGTTGAAACCCAGTTTTCTGCCTGAGACCCACCCACCACCCTTGCATTAAGGCCAGTGCTCTAGAGTGGCCCATCATTGGTGAGAGCAGGACAGCTCCTTCAGCTCGCCATCACCCTCTGCCCACCCAACCCACCTCTACGGATCCTTTGGGTTTGCATTCTGCAAATTCTTTCCCAGATTTGTGACCTTTCTCCCAGGGCCACTGAACTCAGGCTGGGAGGGCTACCCAGGGTGAGGAAGGGATCCCCTGCAGTTCCTGCTGTGAGGCCTGCTTCAGGGAAAGCTGATGCGGCTGGAATATCTCCTGACCCCTTGGTATTGGAGAGCAGGGCTGCTAGAATTCAACATTGTATATATTCACCTGGTTTTTAAGGATGCCTACTCATAGATGTAGCCTCCGCTTTTTTTTTTTTTCATCATTTAGAACACCTTGGGTGAGTCCTGCAATTGGGATTTAATTGTAGAGAAGTGATCCAAGGCCTACCCTTGGATAAATCCTAGACAGGCTCACTGAGTGGCAGAAACACTTTGGTAGAGGGCTTTAAAGATGCATTTTAATGAAATGTGATGCTCAGAACCTCAGTTCGTATGTCATAAGTATAAACCTTGATTGTTTGCATAAGCTGGATAGACCTACATGATCAGCACCCCAGACAGAATCAGTGTGACCCACATCTCAGAAGTGTCCCTTGGGGTCCTTTCCAGCCACACATCGGAGATGACTTTTTACTCCATATTTCCAGGCACCACCCAAACCTGCTGCATGACTCCCACTATAGGAAGAGCCAGGCTTAGTTCCCTAGATAGTCCTGTTCTTTACCAAGTTTGCGGATTCAAGATCTTGCTAATCTTTAGCATCCCATGCAGTCCTGCCCTGCTGCGCTGGGGTCGCCAGGGAGGCAGACTCTGGATGTTGGACCCCTGCTCCCTTGGGCCATCTGGTTCTTCTCTTTTGGCCCTTACTTCCTCTCTTCAACAATTCTTCTTCTCCTTCTCCTCCTTCCTTCTCCTTCTCCTTCTCCTTCACCTTTTCTTCTTCTTCTTCCTCCTCCTCCTCCTCCTTCTTCTTCTCCTTTTTGTATTTTTTTAGGGGAAGGGTCTACAGGGTATTCGGGATCTCACTACTAGATTGGACTCTTAGTGATCTGCCTGTTTACAGCCTCCCAAGAGCTGGGATTACAAGCACGTGCCACCATGCCCAGTCTCAATTGCCATCTCAGTATGCCCCAGGGATGGGGTTGGCATGGCAGGCCCAGGGATCAAACCCCCAGCCCCTGCGCCTGCTTGCAGGCACTTTAATTCACTGAGCTATTTGACTGGCCTTAACAGTTCTTCTTTCCCAGGTATCTGGAGCCTGCGCCCATCACCATTTCCCCAGAATTGTGCAGGCTCATTTAGGCTGGGTGTTTAGTGATTTAACAGCCGGACTCAGTTCTAGAAGGCAGTACTGAATCTAGCACAGTATTTCTCAAAGGGCGTTCTTCCACATGCTGTTCCTAAGCGTGTCCATGTAAGTGTGTCTTAGGGCCAAATACACTTAAAATCTCCAGGATAGGTGAATTCTTAGACCCTTTACTTTGCAACTGTGCTGTAGCAGTCACCAAGAGGGGCAGAGGGTATGGACTTTGCAGAAGGTGGCCACACCATCTGTCACCAGCCCTCTCGGTTTATCCTGGAGTGCTCTTTTATTTTAAAGAGAAGAAAAATAAACAATAAAAACAAGAGTGTAAAATTTTTTTTTATTTTTATTTTTTTATTTTTTGGCGGAACCAGGGATTAAACTCAAGCCCTTGCGGTTGCCAGGGAAGCGCTTATTCTACTGAGCCATCTCCCTGGCCCCATCATGTAAACTTTTAAAACAAGATTGCAGGAGAGTGACAATGTGTAGCACATTACGCATTGTTACCTTCAAAGTAGTTGCTAAAAGTGCAAGCTGTAGGCGTGAAAGCCAGTCAAGCAGTATAGGTACATACTAGCCTTCCAGTGAGTTTATACAGTTAGCAGTCTGTCTGTTTTAACTATATTCTCTGTGTGTGCATATATATTTTTTTTCCTTTCCCTTTCTATCTTTTCTCCTTTCCCCCATTCCAGTTGCTCTTTCCTTTTGAGCAATTGCTTCCATTTCACCACACCTGTTGTGCATTTTGGATCTTACTTTTTCAGCTTCTCACACTACAGAGACAATACAATGTTTGCATATGTGAGACTGGTTTATTTCACTTATAAGTAGGGGCTCCAGTCACATCCATTTCCCTATAAATGTCCCAAGTTAATTGTATGAAAATACCACATCATTTTATCCATCCTTGCTTCTGAGATTCACCCTGACAGATCGTGCTGCTATAACCATGGTGCACATAGATGGCTGGGGTATGGTGTTCTTGATTCTCTGGGGAAGCACTCAGAAGGGGGTAGCTAGCTGGGCTGGGTGGGATCCGGGCATGCTCCTGAACTCCGTGTGGGCTCTCACTGGGGAATGCCTACCAAATGAGTGCAGTCCTGCTGATACAAGGAGACGGTGGGAACCCTGGAATCATGCCTGCGTGCAAAAGCCTCTGCGGTTCTGTCTCTTCCAAGTGATGTCAGAAATACGGTAACATGGGAGCTGTAAGCTGAAAGTGATGATTTCCACACAAGCAACTGGTTAGATTCTTGGCTTCACTCTTTGCTTTCTTTTGATTTAGGCTCATGGATCCTGACCCTTACGCTAGGCCTGATGCAGTGGTCCCTGGGGCCAGTGGGAGGTGTACCAAGGGATGGCCCTGTTTAGCTCGAGACCCTGGAAGGGACTCCTCCCACCCCAGCCTCTTTCTGCTTGTGTGGCATATGAGGCACCTAAGGACTGAAGAGACAGCCCGTCGGTGGGCTCCATGGGGCCACTTCCCGTGGTGCTGATACCTCTGGTGGCTTTTGCAGGGACTGCCACGAGGTTCAGTGGTCAGAGCTACGTGCAGTACAGACCCGCAGGGGTGCAGAACTGGCACATCCGTTTCTCTCTGAAAACGCGTCAGCCGCATGCTGTCCTTCTCTTCACCAACGAGACCGCCCCCATTTCCCTGAAGGTAAGGCGCGCCCACCGGGGAGGTGGCACGCGGGCACCCCGGGCTGGGGAGCAGGGGGCTGCATGATGTTGTCCTTGATGCTGATTCCTGGCAAAGAACTCTTGTCAGGGACTGTGGGGCTGGCTCGGGGACCAAGGCATGGGCCTGTCCAGTCCAGGCGTGCATGGTCCATTTCTCATCCTGGTGGGGTGGCTGGCTTTGTGGGGCAAGAGGGAGTCGCAGCAGACAGACAGAGATGGCCAGGTCCACCCTGCCCTGGGGTCACGGCCGGTGTTTGCGGGGGCTGGCTACACCGGGAATGCTCAAGGTGACTAGGCCAGCATAAAGTCACATGAGGAAAAGTTGTTTCCTCCCCGCAGTCTTCAGTGCTTGTGGTCACGTCCCGCAGGAGTCTCAGCTCTTGTGGTCACATCCCGCAGGAAGTGCCTGATTGTAACACTTTTGTCACGTGGGCCGGGGACACTGGCAGGTGGAGAGGTGTTCATTCGTTCAACACATTATTGGGCATCTGTACTGTGTGACAGGTGCTGTTCCAGGCGCTGGAGTCTCATCCAGGTTAGAGCTTTCATTCTGCAGGAGAGACTGGCAATAAACATATCCATAATAACTGGGGAAATTATAGACTAGTTGCAACCTGGCTAGTCCTACAGGCAAAGAAGGGAGAGAAAAGGTTGAGGGAGCAGGGTGAGGGGAGCTGCAATTTGGGCAATAGTTTGAAGAGTATGAGGGAGGGAGCTAGTGGACACCCGTGAGGAACACACAGAAGAGCAAGGCCCAGGTCTTGTGACTGGAAAGCCTTTTAGCATGTTTAAGCAACATCATGGTGGTCTCCAGGACTCCAGAAGAGGGGACCTGGGACAGTAACTATAGGATTTGAGGTCAGAGACATTGTGGGATGGGGACACATCTATAAAGGTTTTGTGAGCCATGTACAGATTATGGATTTTATAACAGGCAAAGTGGGGTGTATGAGGTTTTGAGCAGCAAATCAAATAATCTGCCACATTGTAAAGAGACTGTCTCAGTCCCTTTCTCAGGGATAAAGTGTCTGATGCCTGTACCTCAGGGGAGAGGCTTGTTTCAGCTCATGGTTTGTAGATGTGTCAGTCTTTGCATGGTCAGCTGACTCGGGCAGGAAGGCTCGCAGAGCGCAGGCAGAGAGCAAGGGCAGGGTGGTGGGTGAACGCTTCTGGGTCATACCTCCAAGTCGAGTCTCTCCTGAGCAGACCCTGCCTCCTACAGCAAGTCAGCTCTGATGCCCCAGCAATCTAGTCACGTTCCAAAAGCCTCGCCTGGGTGCGGGAGGCTCTTGGGGGACTTCTATGTATAAACCACAACGGGGCTCACTATGGCTACTGTGTTGAAGAAGGACTTTAGAGGAAAAAATATCGAAGTTGGGATACATAGACATAAGGCTATGGTGAGAGTAACTTAGGTGAGAGGGGTCGGCAGAGGAGACGAGGATGACGTCAGGACCTGGAGCAGTGGCTGCCTCTGGAAAGACTTCGCAGATAAAGTTGACAGCATTTTTCAGTGGGCTGAACGAAGGGTAGGGGAGAACTTGGGGAGTGAAATTTGTTTTGTTGTTGTTTGTTTTGTTTTTAAATTTTTGAAAGAATATACAGAATAGTAATACAAAAGAAAAAATTAGAAATGATATAGAACTTCACCAAACAAAACAATATGAATTCGACAGGGTTTGTTGTATTGCATATTGTGTTGTTTAGATTACCAGATATATGCATGCAAAGTTGGAAAAAGAGAGAAAAAAACTTAGAAGAAATTAAGAAGGAAGAAATAGGCCAAAAAAAAAGAAAGAAGAAAAAAAAAATGAAGAAAGAAGAAAATAACCAAACAAAATTAAGCAATAACTGTTCCTTTCTATAGAGCAGCAGAAATCCATAGTGCAGTTATCCAAACCATCCTGCTTACATGCATAGATATATCTCTTTGCCCCACTTGGGGAGTGAGATTTGGCCTGAGCCAACTAGAAGGACGGAGCTGCCCCAGCAGACGAGGGCAGGGTGCGGTGGGCTAGGCCGCAGGCCATCAGAAGCTCGGTGTGAACCCGTGTGGGAGATGCCCGCTAGACCTCCAGGTAGGAGTGGATAAAACCGCCTGGTGCCATGAGGTCTGACCCAGAGATGGAAACTGGGGCATCGTTCCTGAAAGCCTCGAGACATTCCAGCGTGGAGGGTCTGGCCCCAAGGGAGGGTCCAACACAAGACAGAACGGGCAGCGCGTGATGCTGGAGGGACACAACGAGCAGGAAGCCGAGCAGCGCACGCACGCAGGCGAAAGGAGGCAGGGATCGGCTGGGCGGTTCTCCGCTGAGAGCCCAGGCAGGTGGGCAGGGAGCAGCTTATTCTCAGTGACAACACCGAGGCCACTGGGTGCCCTGACACCAGTGGCTTTAGGGTAATGCGGGGTGGGCGGGGGGAGGATTTTGCTGCAAAGAGGGGATGAGGAAAGAAAATACTTATGAAGTTCAAGAAAACTTTTTTTTTTTTTTTGGCCAGCTCAGCCCGCCCTGAGAGCGGGGCGGGTGCAGCATGTGGTGCAGGAGCTCAGTCCCCGGTCGCCTTAGCAGGCACTTCAGACCACTGAGCTCTCTTGCCCACCCCCCTTTTTAAGATTAGAAATGAATAAAAATGTAGGAAAGGGCAAGGAGAGTCAAGAGAACCTGGCCTTCGAGCAGGACAGGGGTGGGGTCCAGGTCGTCCGTGAGGAGCCTGGTTTTAGTCACGGTGGAGGGAAGGATGGCAAGAGGGGCCCAAACGCCACTGAGGGCTGGAGTAAGAAGTAAGACCGGGGCTTTGGGTGAACACCCCGAGTCTGAGGACAGAGGGTGACAAGACTGAGGAGGAGCTGCTGACAGGACAGCGTTCAAGGTTCACTTGAGACTCCTGGCCGTGAAATGAGCGGCGAGCAGAGGCAAGACGGCCTGCGCGTCTTCTCCAGCATGTGCAGTCCCGAGTCTGTAGAATCAGGGAGAGTTGGGATTCGTCCAGGTTGTGGGCTCAGGTGGGCTCCACAAAGTCAAAGAGAGACGGGAAGTCAAGGGTGTAAGAAGGCAGTGCTTAGGAGGAGGAGGATGGTTTTTAAGCTTTCCCGGGAAGGAGACAAGCGAGGCTGTAGCCGAGGTGAGAGGAGCGGATCTGTGTTCCCAGGTGATGCAGCTGCAGTGTTTTGAGTTGCACTTAGTTTTTGTTACTCTTTTTCTCTTAATGGAAAGTGATAATAATATGGTTTCCCCCTTATATAAAGGCACAGCTAGTGTCCAACCTGGCAGAACTAGGAGAAATGCTGTGTAGGGGGGTAACTTCTGGGACTCAGTGGGTCAGAGGTCAGATGGGGCCCACAGGAAGCGACCTAGCCCAGCGTGAACAGGAAAGTATCTGGCTGCGGGTATGCCTACGCCTTGGGGGTGGACAACATGCCCCAAGCCAGAGCAGTCCTCCAACTTTTGAATTTCAGGACTTCTTACATTCTTAAAAATTGCTGAGCTGCTTAGGCAGATGCAGGGGCCAGGAGTTCGCTCCCCAGGCCTGCCATGCTGGTCCCACCCCCGAGGCGTGCTGAGACAGCTATTGAGACTGGGCGTGGTGGCGCGCACCTGTTCTCCCAGCACTTGGGAGGCTGTAAACAGGACGGTCACTACTAGTCCAGTTGACGCAGTGAGACCCTGAACATCTTGTCCTATGTTGTCTTAAATACAAAAAGAAAAACAAGAAAAGTTGCTTATATGGATTTTGGCTGTGAACATTTGTGGTAATTTAAAATATTTGTTTCTTACCTCCTTTAAAGATAATAGCAAACCCACTACCTGTTAATATGAAGGCCATATCTTCATGAAAAATCATCACATTTTCCAAGACCTAGAAAAAGAAGGAAGGGTAGCCCTGCTCCACAGGTTTGCAAGTCTCTTCTACGTGGCTTAATAGGTGGCCACTGGCTTCTCATGTCTGTTTTTGTGTTTGCCAGTGAGACATCTGCACAAGTCCACTCTATACTCGTAAGAAAACAAGGACAACAAGGCACATAATGCATTAGGACTATCATGAAAACGGTCTTTCCTCATGACTCCTCTGAAAGGTCTTGGAGCCCCCCTTTAATAAGTGACCGAATAAAGAAGTGGGAGGGAGAGGAAGGTGTTTTGAATCCCTGAATGCCTGTTTACAAGTAGGGAGCACTGCACGGGCCTACAAAGAATCCAAACTACAGGCTCATGACTAGTAAGGCACCTCTGGGCCTCAGTTTTCCCATCTGTGAAATGGGGACAACTCATTCCAACTGTCCCATGCAAAGTGCGAAGCCAAAGGAGACTCTGGGGGTCTTTATGGCCCTCAGGTATGGTGTCTAGAACACCCTTCAAAATCACTAACCACTGCCCCTCCTGCCTATGAAGCAAGAGCCCTTGAGCTGGAAGCCAGCTAGCAGATTTATAAGGACTTCCTGGTTTGCTGACAGCTGTTTGGGCTTTCTTTGCAGCTGACCCATGGAGCGCCCCAGCTGGAATACCGCTGTCCAGGTGGTTTCTATGGAAACCTTTCCTCGCAGCATCCCGTGAATGACCACAAGTGGCACTCCATCCTGGTGGAGGAGACAGACACTTCCCTTCACCTGTCAGTTGACAGCACAAGCAATGTCTCCCTTACTGTCCCAGACAAGTGCCACGCTCTGAGGCCTAAAAGACACCTTGTGCTGGGTGGCCTTGTCCTCTCGCATTCCTCCTCGGGTGTTTCCCAGGGCTTTGAGGGCTGCCTGGACGCTGTGGTGGTCAACAGAGAGCGGCTGGGGCTGCTGGTCCATGGCAAAAAGACAGCAGGCTTCCTGGAGCGACGGGCCCTCAGCCAGTGCTGTCCGCACGGTGGCGCCTGCAGCCGGAACCCGTGCCTCAACGGCGGGAAGTGCTCCCACAACCACGGGGCAGGTGAGCACTAGGAGTGGGGAGCCAGAGCTCCTCCCGAGGCCCTTCCAGGGGGCTGTGGCACATTGAGCTGGCAGGCTGGTGTCGCTGTGGGTCGACAGAGCACACGCCTTCACCTCCGTCCCAGGTGGAGGAGGATGGGAGGCAGCGACAGCGCCATTTCACAGCCCAGGAAACTGCCGCGGCAGGGTGGAGGCAGAGGCCTTTGGGTGGGAGCGGCAAGGTGGTGCAGGCCTGGGGGCAGCGCCCCTGCCTTCTGTCCACACAGCCCGCCCTTGTCCTCACCAGGCTAGAAGGAGCAGGGGACCCGCTGGGTCTGCACCTGGGGCGACATGCGTCGGTCTTCTCCCTCAACCCAGAAGATTGTTCATTCTACTTCTTGGGGGATGCGGAAGACCTGGGTGTGGAGCTGAACAGATCAGGCACCAGCGCAGCAGCAGCCTGTGCGACCTCTTGGCCACCTCTTAATCCTCCCAGCCCCTGAGGGGGAACAGTTAATGTTTTTCAGTGTGTCCTTACACAGTGCATATTACTAGGTTCGCATGCTCGAAGTTTTAATTGGTGTTATTAATATGTAACTTTTTACATGTTCACTCAGGATTTATTTTTCAGTACTGGGAATTGAACCCAGGGGCTTTGCACTGAGCTACATCCCCAACATTTTCTTTGTTTGTAAATGTTTTTTTGTTTGTTTGTTTTTAAAGATTCATTTATTTATTTATTTGGTACAGGGTCTCACCACACATCCCCAGCACTGGGATTAAGAGGTGTGCACCACCAGCACAGTGCTGGGCTGGCACGGCATGTGGTACCAGGGATCGAATCCAGGTCTTTGCGCTTGCCAGGCAGGCGCTTAGACTGCTGAGCTATCTCCCTGGCCTGTAAATGTTGAGACAGGGTCTTCCTCAGTCACTCAGTTGCCCGGCCTAGGTTCAGATCTGTGGGCCTGCTGTAGCCTCCCAGAAAGCCGGGATGCCAGACGTGCACCACTACCCAGCTTCAGCAGCATATTTTTAAGATCGATCCACACTGCCACCAGTAGCTCTTACCCACTGCTTTTAACCATGGCTCAGTCCCGCGGTGCACGCGCACTGACATCTTCCCGTCCCTCCCTCCCAGCCATACTCGTGGGTGTCTTCGAAGTCGTATCTCCATCCACAGTGCTGCGCACACATCTTTGCACATCTCTTTATGGACCTGTGTGAGTTTCTCTCTCTCTCTCTCTCTCTCTCTCTCTCTCTCTCTCTCTCTCTCTCTCGTGGAGTTCCCATGTGTGGCGTATGTAAATAGCTATCTTGACAACTCAGGACTAAAGAGCTCACACGTGGCCTCTGCAGTGTGCAGTTCACAGCGCCGCCAAGGCTGCTGTGTGCTCACACCACCGTCCACCCTAGACATCACCCCATTTTCTTATTTCTGCCCTGTTAATCGCATTACCATTTCCACCTACAAAATATCCAGGAAGCGCCTCACCGCCCTCCATCACTGTGACCCGACCTCTGTCGCTTCTTTCCTTCTCCTTTGCGCCAAGCGCTTCCTGTTCCCTCCAGCTTCTCTCTGCACATCCGGCCTTCCAGCAGGCGCCAGCGTGATCTTGATAAAACGCAGGGCTGCGCACGCCACTGCCCTGTAAGAACTGTCCCAGGCCAGGGACATAGCTTGGCAGCCTAAGCGCCTGCCTGGCAAGCGCACAAGGATTTAGTTTGCCATGCCCTGGTACTGCATGCCCTGCCAGCCCTGAGACCCTGGGCGCACTGTGCCGGCCTGTGTGGCGAAGCACTCCTGTAAGCCCAGTGCTGGGGAGGCTGAGACAGGAGGATCATTACGAGTCTGAGCTGCATAGTGAGACCCTGTACTCAATAAATAAATAAATGAAAGATTTTTTAAAAAATTAAAAGAAAATGATGATTAACAGGAGCATGTGTGTCTGAGCCTGCAAACATGCCTTGGTCCCATCCAGCTGCTCGGGCAGTGACTCCATCGCCCTCCCCCGCTCTTCCCAGGCTATGTCTGCGAGTGTCCCCTGCCGTTCTCTGGGAAGCACTGTGAAGAACACCGAGGAGCCAGGAACTGTACTTCCACACCCTGCCAGGAAGGGAGCACTTGCATCTCCTCTGAGGGAGCTTCCTGTACCTGCCCACACCCCTTCACAGGGGACAGGTAAGTGCAGGACAGGCCACCAGCCTCTGGCTCTTCATCTGGGTGTGGCACTGTTAGGGAATAACCTTTGTACTCTGACCTTTGGAGATGACACTGGGATTCCAGGGACTGGAGAACCACAGCCTGGAGGCTCACCCCCTCCGCTGACGCTGTGTCAAGTGCCTGTCTGCTTAAGAAACACCTCTGTCCCCCCAGGACTTCCCAGTCCCTATTCTGAATCTACTGAGCCAGACACAGCCCGGGAACGTATGCTCCTTCCCACGTCCTCAGTCCCGGTTCCAGTAAGTGGCTGTGCCTGCTCTGCCGTGTGACTTTCCAGAAAGTGGCTGAGGCAAGATACATCCGCTTGGTACAGGAGCTACCCCATCCCAAGCCCACTCCACAAGTCTACATCTCTACTGCACTGGCAGAGCAAGGTGTGAGGAAAGAGAATGGTTCTTAGATTCTCAGAAGTAAAGAGATTTTGACAATATTCTAGTCCTGAGGCTCGAATCCTCTAAGAAGTCATGAGAGAAATTTGTGAAAAACATTTGCCCAGGTCTCATCCGGACCAGCTACACCAGAATCTCCCGAAATGGGCCTGGACTTCATTTTTAACAAGGATCTCCTCACTGTGAGCCTGTGTGGAGCCAACGATGTGATCCACCCACCATTTTACAGATAGGGAAACTGAGGCTCAGAGAGACAGAGGCTTTGCCCAGGATCACCCTACAGCATGGAGCTCACAAGAAGAAACTGCTGGTGCTGAGACTGCAGGCGCTGGGGGGGCTTGGGATTTGAGTTGGGTGGGGAAGCCGGTCCCGTGCCTCCCAAGTGCACGAGGTGAGCACGGCCAACATAGCGGAGTAGAGGTGCCCAGCGCGCACTCGCTTCTCTCCAGAGCCACTGCAGTGACAGGCCGATGGCTGCACGTGCGGTGGGCACCTCTGGGGGACAGTACCACTCAGCAGTAGGCAAGCAGAAACCTTGTAAAGACCCAGCAGCCTGGGACAGCATCACAGCAAGAAAACCAAAATATATGGCGCCTGCTGCCCTGGCTCCGAGACCGGAGCGCGAGAGGCTCCGCTCTGCAGGGTGAAGATGGAGGAAGCCCGGCCAACCCTAGCTGCTGGGGAGCTGCACAGTCCTTGCAAGCTTACGGCCTACACAGACCAAGGTCTGCCGTCCACACGGCAGTCTGGCTTAGGAAGGAGTGCTCATGTTGTCTCCCGGCACTCCCTCCGAGTGCTGCGGCCAAGAAGCGTCTTTGGTTTGAGTTACACTGCTTTAGGGGTCGGAAGCCCACGTGTGTTCTGCTCTCTGGGCCCCCACAGGCTTTCTGCTGCACTGGCCCGGTGGGGGCTGCCTGGGTGGTGGTCGCTGTCACACAAACCCACCGAGTGCTGCTGAGAGGGGAGCAGGTATTGTGAGGTGGGGGGAGAGGAGGGTGCTGGGGAATTGTGGAGTGGCATGGCCCGTTGACTGTGGTGTCACTTGGGTCAGGACTAGGGCCGCTGCCAGCGCAGTCCTACTACAGAAAACACCCAGTCTCCACTGAGGCCCCATAATAGCACATGACAGTGTAAGTCCCACTGTAAGAATAAAAAATAAGGAATAGAAAAACCCCACATATTATAAATATAGTAAATCATCAAACTATAAAGTTAGAGGAAGAGCCAAGCAAAAAATATTCAAAACAACCAGAAGAAAGTAAAATGACAAACACAGGCCTGTATATTTTACCAGTAATTCTGAATATAATGGTCTTACTTCTCCAGTTAAAAGATACAGACTGGCTGAATGGATTAAAAACAAGGCCCAATATACTGCCTCTAAGAAATGCGCCTCTGAATTTGATGCCCTCCCTGTACTCCCACTCCCAAAAAACCAAATGTACTTCATGAGTAAAGACACACCAAGAAGGCTGGCCAGATAGCTCAGCGGATTAAAGCACCTGCTTAGGCAGATGTGGGGACCAGGGTTTGATCCCCGGCATGCCGGGCCAGCCCCACCCCCAGGGTGCACTGGGATGGCAATTGAGACTGGGCATGGTGCTGCGTGCCTGCAATCCCAGCGCTTGGGAGGCTGAAAGCAGGAGGCTCACTTTGAGTCTGATCTGTGTAGTAAGACCCTCTAGACCCTGTACGAAATACAAAGCAAAACAAAGGCACACCGAGAGCTAGAGTAAAAGGATGGAAAGAGAGCAGCCCAACCAGACGGAATCTGGAGATAAGCAGGCATGGGCTTCAAGGCAAGAACTGCATGAAGAAAAAGAGGTCACTGAGGAACAACCAAGGGATGATGGGCCAGGTGCACACCTATCACCTCAACACTCTGGAGACTGGAGCAGGAGGAGGGTGAGTTCAAGTCCAGTCTGGGCAATTTAGCTACTAAGCTGGGCCCTGTCTCAAAATAAAAAAACTAAAAGGGCTGAGTATATATCTCAGTGTAAAAGCACTAGATTCAATCCTTGGTATTTTAAAAAAAGAAGATACAGTGATTATGAAAATGTATGTACCCTGCTTAGGCAAGTGCAGGGACCAGGGTTCGATTCCTGGCACCACACGCCGTGCCAGCCCTGCCCTCCCCGGGTGCGCTGAGCTGGCCACTGAGACCGGGCGTGGTGTGCACACTTGTAATCCCAATACTGGGGAGGCCGAGACAGGAGGATCACTACGAATCTGAGCTGCATAGTGAGACTCTGTACCAAATACACTAAAAACAAAAAGAAAAAAAAAACCCTGTATATACCTAATAGCAGGGCACCTAATTTTATAAAGAAAACACTGTTAAATGTAAAGGGACAAATAAATCCCAAAACAACAAAGGGGAATTTCAATACCCCACCCTCAATGACAGATAAATAATGTAGACAAAATATCAACAAAGATGATTCAGAGCTAAACTTAGACTATAGACCTTTATAGAAGATTCTCCCCAACAGCTGAAGAATACACAACCTCTTCCTTAGCACATGGAACTTTCTCTAGGACACACCGTATGCCAGGCTACAAGACACGCCTCAATGAATTAAAAGGGATTGAAATCATGTCCTGTGTCTCTTCTGATCACAGTGGAAGGAAGCTAAAACTCCACAACAAGAGAAACTATAAATTTTACGTGGAGAATGAATAATGCACTTTAAAAAAAAATCCTTTATTTATTTATTTATTTATTTATTTGGTACAGGATCTCACTACATAGCTTAGACTTACAGTGATCTTCCTGTCTCAGCCTCCCGAGTGCTGGGATTGCGGGCATGTGCCTCTGTGCCTGGTTTCCATGGCTGGCACAGCATGCAGTCCTGGGGATTGAACCCTGGTCCTTGGGCTTGCCAGGCGGGTGCTCAGACTGCTGAGCTATCTCCCCAGCAGTGAACAGTAAGTCACTGAAGAAATCGGAAAAGAAATTTTAAAATTCCTTGAAACAAATGGAAATGGAAACACAACACACTGAACCCTATAAGGACTTCAGCAAAGTCAGTATATAACTTTTATAGCAGTGAGTGACTAGTGAAAAACAGATAGATTTAAAAGAACTTAATGATGCATCTCAAAGTCTTGGAAAAGCTAGAACCAACCACAATGCAAATTAGAAGACTGAAGGTAAAGAACCAAAATAAATGAAATAGTGTCTAGAACAATACAAGGTATCAATGAAACGAAGACTCTTTGAAAAGATAAGGGACACTGACGCATCTTTAACTAGACTAACCAAAACACAGACGGGCAGACAATCCAGATAAATAAAATTAGAGCTGAAATAGAAGATACTGCAGCCGGTACTGCAGGAACACAAGGGATTGTTATGGGTTATTCTGATAAACTACATGCTAACGAATAGGAACATCTAGAACATCTAGAAAGAAGACAAATTTCTAGACCCACATGACTTACAGAAATTGAACCAGAGGATATTAAATAAACTTGAATAACTTAATAACAAGTAATGAGATTAAATCAGTAATTAAAAGTATTTCAACAATGAAAACCCTCATCTACAAAGGTCAGGCCCTCATCTACAAAGCCAGCATCATCCTATTACCAAAACCTGACAAGAACGCAGCAAAACCCAAAAATCTAGACCAGTCAGTACCCGTGATGAACAAACAGATCAAACTGGGCAGCACAGGAAAAAGATCGTTTGTCACGGTCAAGCTGGCTTCATTCCAGACGGCAAATGAGGTTCTTTTTTTTTTTTTTTTTTTTTTAAGGAGGACCGGGGTTTTTTTTTTTTTTTTTTTTTTTTTTTTTTTTGGTGGAACTGGAGATTGAACTCAGGCCCTTGCGCTTACCAGAGAAGCGCTTATTCCACTGAGCCATCTCCCCGGCCCCCAATTTTTTTCTTTTTCTTTTTTTTTAAATGGGGCTCAACAGACATAAATCAATTAATTTACTACATCGTGTAAGTAGAATGTAGAATGAAAAATCACTCAATCATCTCATTAAATGTAGAAAAGTATTTGATGAAATTCAACAGCGCTTCACAATAAAAGCGCTGCACGTGAAATGCCAAATATATGCCAACAAGATAGAGGCTATATATATGACCAATCCAGAGTCACATTGAGTGGGAAAAACTGAAAACATCTCTAATGCTAAGAACAACTCAAGGGTCCACAATTTTACCGATTTTATTCAATACAGTACTAGACTTTTTCTTTTTTTTTTTGGTGGAACTGGGGATTGAACTCAGGCCCTTGCGCTCGCCAGAGAAGCCCTTACTCCACTGAGCCATCTCCCCAGTACCCCCTGCCCCATTTTTTTCTGTATCAGGGACCAAATTCATGACTTCGTGCTTGCCAGGCAGGCACTTTGCTGCTGAGCTGTCTCCCCTGCCTATCTCCCCTGATTAGACATTTTAATCAGAAAAATTAGGCAAGAGAAAGGAATAAAAGGCATACAGATAGAAAAAAGATGACATCAGTTATCCCTGTTTGCAGATTATGAAAAAGCTAGACTCGCTGGGTGTGGTGACACACGCCTATAATCCCAGCACTCGGGAGGCTGAGGGAGGAGGAGCGCTGCAAGGTTGAGGCCACCCTGGGCTGCAAAGTGAGTTCAAGACAGGGGAGACCGTGTCTTAAAAAAAAAAAAAAAGCTGCAGAGTCAAAGCAATTGCCTTCAGAATATCAATGATACTCTTCACAGAACTGGGAGAAAACAATGTTAAAATTCATTTAGAAGCACAAAAGACCCCGAATAGCCAAAGCAATCGAGCAAAATGAGAAGGTCGGCACAGCACCTGACTTCAAGACATACTACAGAACCATAGTAATAAAACACAGTGGCAGACATAAAGCCCAACAGGACAGAGGAAAACAGAAATAAACACAGGCATCCACAGCCAACTCATTTATGACAAAGGTGCCCAAAAGAATAAACTACTGGTAGAACGCCGGGCACTAGATCTTCTAGCCTTGCAAAAGGTAGGGAGCCTTCCCCGGTACCTTTTCCCTCAGGAGTGCATAGACCTGGCCGTGCAAGTTCCCAAAGAGGCTTCCACCACCAAAGGCCAGACTGAAGATGACCTGAGAGGTCACATGGCTTCAGGTGCTCTGCCTGGGCAGGTCACCCTCTACAAGCTAGCTGATCTGTGCGGTACCATGTTGGGCTCCTGTGACAGCAGGCAGTATTGATGCTTGGTCACTATCACGAGGTGACTACCGACTTGTGTCTGAGGTCCTGATATCTTTGCTAGAGGACAACTGGGTGTGCCTAATGCCTACATTGCAATCATATGGTTAGCTGGAAATCCCTTATTTGGGGACAGGCCATCCCCTGCCTAGATCTCACTGGTGGAAAATAGTAGACATGTCGAGATCCTAAAGGACACAAGTGGGCACATAGCTGAAGCCCACACTTTCCTGGGAAAGGATAAAAAGTTCTGATGTTGATGTATTTGATAGTAACTGTCTGTCTCTTCATCCATCCTTCCGATGGAAAAGGGTGGGCCCAAGGGTGGGAATCTCTATGCCACAGACTGTGAGAGGACACGGAAAAGACAGACTCAGACCCCTGATGGCTTCCATCCCTGCAGGTGTGAAATGGAGGCAATTGGTTGCTCGGAAGGACACTGTCTAGTCACTCCCGAGATCAAAAGGGGAGACTGGGGGCAGCAGGAGCTCCTGATCATCATAGTGGCCACCACGTTCATCCTTGTGATGACCGTTGGACTTCTCTTCTACTGCCGCCGCTGCAAGTCTCACAAGCCTGTGGCCATGGAGGACCCCGATCTCCTGGCCAGGAGTGTTGGTGTTGACACCCAAGCCATGCCTGCCATTGAGCTGGACCCCCTGAGTGCCAACTCCTGCAACAACCTGCACCAGCCAGAGCCCAGCAAGACGTCGGTGCTGAACGAACTCGTCACTTTCGCACCCAGCTCGAAGCAGCGGCCAGTGGTCTGCAGCGTGCCTCCCAGACTCCCGCCAGCGGCAGCCGCTTCCCACTCTGACCATGAGGCCGTCATCAAGAGAACCTGGTCCACTGAGGAAATGGGTGAGTACAGCCCGGCACCACTCGCCTTTGGGATTGGCGGGGCGGAGTAGTGGACCCAACTACTCTGTTGAGGGCCTGCAAATTTAGCTGCAGTCCATCTAGTTCCTTAGAAGGAGCTGTGAAAGGAGGTAGGTGAGGTCAGGGTGCTCACTGGCTACAGCAGGTGCTAGGTCTCTTGACCTGTAGCCTGTGATCTGCCAGAACCTCGTAGACTCTCAGCAAGGCACCTGGAGTGAAAGGTGGGTGGGGGACACTGCACATTGGTGTTTTGCTGGGAAAGGAAAGGGAAGCAGCAGTCCAGGTTTCTGGCCCCCCAATGTGCAGGTACAACAACGTTGAGTAAGGCTTAGCTGGCTTAGAGGAGCAAACGTCACTCTCCCTTTCGATGCAGAAGGGAGTGGGTTCATAAGGCACTTTCTGCTGAAGCACTAGTTGCAAGAAGTATTTTCATGATTTGCCAGTAGGGGCCCATAAAGATGAAAGAACTTGTTTTAACTCACCCAGTGTTTCAGCAGCAGAGACAGCTCTGGGACCAGGGACTCCTACCTGATACTCTCTTCCTTCACCCCTGTCCATGACAGATGCCAACCTATCTCTAAGTCCAAACTGTGTCTGGTTACCTTGTGGGAGGGGATTAAGCTCCCCATAGCTCCTGGGTGTCCAGCAGGGAGGGTGAGCTGCTCCGAGTTCTCCGCATCCGCCCTTATGCGTCCACTTAGATCAGTGGCAGAGATCTGCAAGATGGGCTGGCTTTCAGTTAAACCTCTGGCCTTGCCCCACTGGATTCCGTGCACGGACCCAAGGTGCTGAGGACAGCGCTGGTAGATGGGCCCCATGTGCCCCTGGAGCCCCCTACAGGCCAAGTTTCGTAGAGCAGCTACAGGAACTCAAAGCCGGCATTCACCCCACCCTGTGGTTCCTTTGCAGTGTACCCCAGTGGCGCTGCTGTCTGGCCCCCGTCGTACTCCAGGAAGGAGCCCTGGGAATACCCCCTCTCCGAAGTGACCCAGGGGCCTCTGCCGCCTTCACCCCCTGGTCACCCAGCCCCAGCAGGGCTGCTGGAGCCCCCTGGCCTCTACGGGGGCTTCCCCTTTCCCCTGGAGCTGGAAAACAAGCGGGCACCCCTTCCACCCCGCTACAGCAACCAGCACCTAGAGGATCTGGTGCCTCCGCGGCGCCCTAGTCCCCGGGAGCGCCTGCTTGCCCCCCGCCTCAACCAGTACACGGCCGGCAGCTACTACCACTCCCAGCGCCGCCAGGGGGGGCCCGAGCCCTGCCTGGCCGAGGGGGGCTACGAAGGGCTGAGCGTGCGCCTCAGCAGGGCGGGGCCCTCCTATGCCGACTGCGAGGGCGACGGGGGGCCTCCTGCGGGCAGGGCCCAATCCCGAGCGCCGCCCAACTACGAGGGCTCTGACACGGTGGAGAGTGACTACGGCAGCTGTGAGGAGGTCATGTTCTAGCTGCCTGCTCTCAAGCGAAGACAGGCACCAGGCCACGGCCTTGGGGCCTCCTTCCTGTAGTGAGGAAAGGGGCCAGTGTGTCTAGGAGAGGGAGGGAAGCCCCTGGACCTAGGCCAGGCTGGGCCGCTTGAAATGTGCTCTTCCCATCCCCCAGCTGGACCTTGAGGTGGAGGGAAGCTGAGGGCAGAGCCCCCAAAGCAGCACTAGGGCCCCAGGAAAAAAGGATGCACAGGGCAGTTACCTTGGGGTGGACCAGAGCCAGGCTGACACACGGACATGCCCCGGGAAGGCAGATAGGACTAAGGATCAGCCCCTGCGGTTGCCCAGAGTGCCCTGCAGAGGCTGGCAGGTTTATGCCCAGGAGGAAGGCACTGAGCCTGTCAGGGGCACGTTCACCTGGCCTGGAGAGGAGTCCTCCTAGGAGCTGAGAGGCGAGCGGGGGAAGGCCACCAGAGACCAGCCTGTGCGTGTGTTCCCTGCACATCTGTGCCAGGCACAGTGTGGGGTGTCAAGGGCTCCCTCAAGGCTTGGTCTCCCGAAGTCCAGCTCCGTCACCCACCTGCAGGGGCATTGCTCAGCCTCCTGAAATCACACAACTTTCAGCCAGCTCCCTCCTGCCAGGATTGTATGAAGCCCTGAACCTTCTTTGTGGAAGAACCCAGACCCCACCGCCCTCTGGGTTCTTCATCGCAGGCTTCCCAGGCACTTTTGGCCAAAGGCAAGAAGGAAATGATTCAGTTTAAAAAAAAAAAAAAATTCTGTGGCACTTTTCAACCTTGCTGTCTGCTGACTGTTCCCAAAGGGATTTTTCTTCTCTAGACACAAGGAACTCAGAATTCCCATTGTGGGAAGGGGAAGGCAGGGCCCTGCCAGCGGACTGTCCAGGCTGGGCCCCAGCCTTTCCTGCCCTCCAGTTCAGCTGCCTGCCAATCAAGTATTACCCGCACTGACTCAGCCTCATGCATGGCCAAGGCGGGTGCCCCGTGCAGGCCGCGGGTACAGAGGGGATGCAGCCAGGACTGAAGGCGGCTGAAGCTAGTGTGGCCTCTGGTGGCCTCGCCACTGCCTCCCCTGGCTGTTTCTCTCCCTGGTCTGCTGCCTTTTCTTGTGGCTATGTGTGGAAGAAAGGAAACACAGAGCCTCCTACCCACAGTCCCTCTGAGCCCGCGGGACGGAGCAGCATCGACAGCGTACCCGTGTGTGTGGTCACGGCCGCATGTGACTGTGAGCCCGAGTGGCAGCATGTGTGGCTGAGTGGTGCTTTTTTTTTTTTTTTTTTTTAACAATAAAGTATCTTTTTTACTGTTATTTACTCTGTCACTTGGCTTCCTTCAGGTTGGGCCAGGACAATGAGAAAGAGGGGTACAGACCCTTCAGGGCTAAGACTAGAAGAATTTGGGAGCCAGATGAGAACTCGGAGATCAGCGAGCACAGTGAACGCCAAGCCTGGGGCAACTGCTAACCAGACTGGTGCTTTACCCAGATGCACAAATCGAGCCCTGAGGGTGGGGCAGGGGAAGCTGTTTAGGAAAAAGTGCCCCAGCATTTTAGTAACCGTTCTCGTTGCTGAGACAAAATACCCAACCCCCACAAGTTGAGGGAGGGAAGGTGTATTTAGCGCATGTCTAGAGGTTTCAGTCTGTAACCAGCTGGCTCCATCACAGAGAGATGGTTCATGGTGGGCAGAGGGCAGCAAGACACCAAGGGGCACCACAGCTTTCGGTCCCTTCTGTCTTACCCAGGCTACTCAGGGCAGGGAGAGCTCACACCCTTAGTCCTGGTGCCCTTGAGCCTAGCAATGCACCGTGAATCCCAGCATCACAAGCCCTAGATCCAGCCATCTCTGAAAAAGTCCTGCCTATGACTGTGTGAAGCTTTGGGGGACACCTAGATGGCAGCCACAACACCCTGACTCTGGATCAGCTGTCTAAAGGGGTTTGCATTCCTTAAAGGTGCATAAATCTGGCTCTGAGAGCCTGACAGCCACCCACCAGCAAGTCAGGCAATCAAACCAGATCAACACCCTCGCACATCGTCCCCCAAGACCCACAGTTGACGGTAGGGGCCGTCCCTGGAGCTGCACTTCGTGGGTGTGGACAGGTGTGTGCTGATGTGCCCTTCACTGTAGCATCGTGCTGAGTGGCTGTCCTGCCCTAAAGGGCCTCTGCCATCTACCTGTTCCCCACTCTCCCCTAATACCTGGAAACCCGGATTGTCTAAGTGTCTCCACTGAGTCCTCTTCGAGAAAGTCACCTGGTCAGAATCACACCTCGTGCAGGATTCTCAGGCTGTCTTTGGTTTTCACTCAGTGGCATGAATATCAGTTTGCTCCATGTCTTTTCGTGATTTGAGCGCATTTTTTGGCTTTAAATAATAGGATGTACCCCAGTTTGCCTACTCTTACCCACTGAAGGATGTCTTGCTTGCTTCCAGATGTTAGCAGTTGTGGCTACAACTGTCTACGCATCTGTGTGCAGATGTAAGTTTTGAACTCCTCTGGGTGAATACCAAGAAGCACAGCTGTGGTAAGAAGCAGCAGAGCGACCTGTACCACTCTGCGTTTCTAGGAGCAAAGATCGGGGGTTCCTCTGGGCCCACATCCTGACCAGCGCACAGCACTGGACTTTGGCCATTGTAGTGTGTAGTGCCTTATTTTTCTGATTGTGTCTCAGGGACAACATACAGTGCCAATCCTCTTTATTTGGGATGAATCTATATATCTTTAGTGCAGTAGTTGATCCATTTTTAAAATCACATTTGTTGTTTTCTCATTGCTCCATTTTAAGAGTTCTTTGCATATTTTGGATAATAATTCTTTATCTAATAGATCTTTTAGTAAACATTTTCTCCTAGCCTGTAGTTTGTCTTTCTATTCATTGGTATCTTTCAAAGAATCTAAAGCTTTAATCTTAGCCCACCTAGGGGCTGGTGAGATGGTTCAGTGGTCTAAAGCACCTACTTAGAGCAAGCTTAGCAAAGCACAGAGACTGCGGTTCAATCCCCCAGCACCACATGCCAGCCAGCCCCGCCCCCTGCTGGGCTGAGCTGGCCACACACACACACACACACACACACACACAAATAAATAAAATTAAAAAAAAATCTTAGCCCACCTTATCACTTCTTTCATGGCAGTGCCTTGGGTGTTGGAGCTAAAACATCACATCTAGAGTCTCTCCTCTGTCAGCTCCTAGGAGTTTTACAGTTTTATAGTTCACGCTGAGGCCTGATATCCATTCTGAGTTCATTTTTGTGCAGTGTGGAAGGTCTGTATCTGGATTCTCTTCCTACGTGGTGTCCAGTTATTCCAGTAGCATTTGTTGACAGCACTGACGACCTCCATTACCTCCTACCTTTGTCCAAGTTCATTTCAGCTTTTTTTTTCCAGTAAAATGAAGACACTACACATTAGCCATGCCCTAACATTGGTATAATAACTGCAAACATAAAGAGCTTATTGAGGGGCTGGTGAGATGGCTCAGTGGTCTAAAGCGCCTACTTGGAACAAGCTTGGTCAAAGCACAGGGACCGCGGTTCAATCCCCCAGCACCACATGCCAGCCAGCCCGCCCCCTGGTGGGCTGAGCTGGCCACACACATACACACACACACACACACACACACACACACACACACGCAATAAATAAATAAATGTTTAAAAAAAAAGAGCTTATTGAAGTACAAATAATACATGGTGACCATTTTGATAGCAAATAATACCAGATCGGTGCGAGTGCTACGTGGGAAACCACAAACAATCTATTGTGTTGCGTTACCCACTTCTAGGATTTTGGGGGGCCCTGGACAAATACCATGTGTATTATATTCATGTAATATTTTTCCTTAAATGGAATTACAGTCTCAAAAATATTTTTATTTACCTTAAAATGACAATATCCTTAAACTAAAGAATTTGCAGGTCACTATTATTTTCTTTTTTTATTGCACATCACTCCTTTATTATACTGATCTGGAAAAAGGCTTGCTTATAGTTATGCTCAGAACGAGTGCTGGCCCATGTGGCGGGGCCAAGCCGGCTGGAACATGATTCAGAAGTCGGACACTGTGAGACGCACTTCGACATGGTCGGGAGGCACGTTCACGGCCACCAAAGCAAGGCAGAGGGATCCTAAGCCACACAGCAGGACGCACGCCCATGCACAGGGGCCAGATCTCGTCCTATACTGGTGTGAGGAATGGCTTCCTTTCTGGTGACCACATGTGGAACTATTCAACCACCACTAGACGCCCAGAAGGGTTTTTGTTTAGATATGTAATTTGTCTTTTGCAGAACAATTGAAAATTGATTAACCCCAACCTTCTGGAGCCAGCTCCTCTAGGGTGAGGGAAGAAACTACTTCAGTCACCAAGCAGGTTACCTTCATCTCTCACTGGAATGTCGAGGGCTCGCTGACTGACCGGACTACAGAAGAGCGCAGGGCTGGCTCCGGGGAGCAGCGTGCTCAGGCCGCTCCTCATTGGTCGTGCCTTGGCATGGTTATCGCTGTCCCCTACTCAAGCAGGTCCTTAGTAAACAAAGCAGAAGCACTAGACAGTTACTACCTCTCAACTGTCCTGGATAAGAAGAGCTTTCCCTGAGCTTGGACTGAGAACTAGAGCTTGTGTCCTAGAGGTCCTGTCCTGACTAGATTCTATCAAGGGAGTGGGTGCAGGAGCCGAAAAGCTAAAGGGAAATGGGAGCCTTGGGTCCCCATCCGCAGCTACAACACAGGACGCCTACAGATGTGGTCAGTGTGATGGGGGTGGGGGGGCGGAGGGGGGGTGGATGGGGCGCGGGCTGTGGTGATCTTCACTTCTTGGCCTTGCCCTGGGCAGCCACAGCTTCCATGGCTTTGCGCACGGTCTCTTCAACCCCGAGGAACTGCATGGCTTGATGGGCTTTCAGTTCTTGTCCAACTCGTAGACAACAGGAATACCAGTTGGCAGGCTCAGCTCCACAATGGCTTCTTCAGGGAGACCTTCCAGATGCTTGACTTCCCCCGCAGGCTGTTGCCGTGGGCTGCAATCAATGCCTTTCCCCATCCTTGATCCAGGGAACAAGTTCTTCATTCCAGAAGGGCAGAGCTGTGGCACTGGTGTCTTTCAGACTCTCACAGGAAGGCAGCTGATCTTCAGTGAGGTCTGCACACCTACGATCCTTGCCGATGTTGCTGTAGAAGGGGCGGTCAGGCTCCCTCGGGGTGGTGGGACATCGTAGGAGCGCCGGCAGATCGTCACCCGGGCCCCACCGTGCTTGGCAGCGGTCTCTGCTTTATTAAGGCCAGTCAGGTCCCCACAGTGCCGCTCATTGAGACGCCAAGTTCTCACCACTGGCAGTCACATCTGGTCAATGGCATCCAGTACTGTCCGGAGGGTCCGGATTGCTCTTTTCTGCAATGAGGTAAGGCAGATATCAAATTCGTAGCCAGCATGTCGC